ATTTCCATCCTGATCTGGAAGCCCAGTCAATTTTCAAAGGTACGCATTAAAAAGGAAAAAAAAAAATAATGACTGTTTTTTGGATTAAATCATTTAATGTCAATTTTATGTACTTTTTAATTCTAATTGTTTGAAAATTTTGAAATGAAAAACATTTTTTTAAATAGATACAACACTAACATCATTTTTAAGGCAAGAATAATTCATCCATATTGGGGTACATTAAAAAAATGAATAAAAGAAATTCGTTTTGGTGATGTTTATTTTTTATCAAATTTAAATAAGTTTATTTCTCATTCCATCCATTCTTTTGCTGTTTAAATAACAAAGCAAAATGAATGAATGATTTGAAAATTTCAATTTTTTTTAAAAGCCAAAATTTTCTGTTCTAGTCAAAAAAAGGGGAAAAAATATATTCAAGATTTTTCAAAATATTGGCAGAACCTGTTGTCAATATTTTAAACAATGTTTACAGGCAGATATTAATATATTAAATAAATATAATATAGAATTTATATAATAGACTAGCAGTAGAGTCCGGTGTTGCCCGGGGATGTAAAAGTAAGAGATAGATCAAGTATTGACCATCATAAAGACTGAAAAATAAAATTGACAAAGATTATTATTGTTTAAGGTTGACGGACATGCATGTCTTAATTAGTTTTTTTTTTTTTTTTTTTTTTTTTTGGTCAATTGGTCAAACTCAAAAAAAAAACATTGTTTTCAATCGTTATGAGTCTACCGATTGAATAGAATTTTATTATAAACAATTGTCTTGTAAATGGAATTTTTAAAAGCATTCTGAAAAAAAAAATAAAAAAAAAAGTGTGCAAGACAATAAGAAACACTAAAAAAAAAAAAAAAAGTGAAGTTTTGTTGAAATTGGTTGAAAAATGTAGGAAATCCGATCCCATATATAAATGAACACACACACACACACAAAACAACCTGGTTTTATAATAAGTATAACTCAATATGAGTTGTCCCCCTTTCATTTTGACAGTAATGCCTCTTAATTGTGTTTTTCAAATTGATTTCATGCAAAAACAATTTGTTTTTCCAATTTTTGGTGCTGTCAGAACCACCGCAAGGTAATTTTACGTAGTCCTGTGAAGTTTTGTTGAAATCTGTTTAAAAATGAAGGAAATGCGATCCCATATATAAACGAACAGACACACACAAACACACACAACCTGGGTTTTATAATAAGATGTATTTATTTAACAAATTATTTTTTAAGTCAGGTTTATTATTTTTAATGCTTTCTATCTTCAAAATGTACTTGAATTGAACATGGCTCTCCACACATTCTGTTTCTTTATCTCCAAATTGCTATGACTTCTTTGGAAGATAGTAGTGGTTTCCTGTTGCCTTCTGTATAGTTTTAAATTCAGAATAGTTTTTTTTTCTTTGTCTGGTTGAAGAAACAGATTTCTGCCTTTCCCAGAGGCATTCCTGTGACAGGGTAATTGTTGTTTGAAAGATATGTTTAACTAGCTTAACTAACTGCCCTATCAGGTAGCATTTAAATTAGCTTCTGCGGAGGGCTCTTGATTGGGCATTCATCACAATAGATGGGGAGGAGTAGATGCGATATACCGTAAAACAAACCAAATCAATCAAATAGGGACTGTTCAATATTTGAATAAGGAAAATGTTAGATTAAAAATAATTCCATTAATTCTTTAAATATATGTTTCATTGAAAACAGCTGACAAGGTACTGTGATTAAGATTTTTTTTTTTTTTTAAATTTTTCTTGTTATAATTTTTTTCTTTTCTGGACATAAATTTTGTGGGAATTGTCCCAATGTTTTGTCTGTCCAAATGTTTTATTAAAAATAATGAAAGCATTTATTAATAAATAAAAAAAAAAAAAAAGCCAAAACTCAATATCAACTATGAACATGGCCACAATGTTCTGACCATGTTTGAAAAATAAAACATTCCTATAACTCTAGATACATACATAAAACAATCCATATACAAAGTCATTCTGGATAATTGTTAAAAGTATAGCTGAAAGCACTTGGACATACAAAACATTTGGACAAATTCTATATAATTTATGTCCCAAAAAGAAAATAAGAACACAAGAAAATTGAATAAAAAGCTTAAACACAGTACCTTGTCAGTCATTTTAATGAAACTTGTATAAAAGAGAGATTGCTGCCTAAATATACACACACACACACACACACACATATATATATATATATATATATATATATATATATATATATATATATATTTACATGCACATTTCATTGAAAACGACAGACAAGGTGCTTTGATTTAGTTTTTTTATACAATTTCTCATGCGATCTAATAATTTTTTCTTTTCCGATGATAAATTATATAAAAACTGTCCAAATGTTCTTTTTATCCGAGCACTTTCGGCTATACATTTAGCCATTTTCAAGGTTTAAATATTTTAACTATTAAATAAGAAATAGTTTGTTGTATATATGTTTTATAAAATGTTTTCATTTTTCAAAACACAAGCAAGATATTGTGTCCATGTTCAAAGTTAATATTATTAAGAGTTTTGGTTTTTTTTTTTTTTATTAATAAGGCTTCCATTATTTTTTTTTTTTTTTTTTGCATGTAGATGATGCTATTATATTTGTGTTGTCAACAAGTATGTTACGAATAGTGTCCGGTAGGTCTCCATGAATATTTAAATGAGATCTAATTGAGCTATGGTCAGAAAGGTGTAGATATGAGTGTGTTGTCATGCGTCAAACATGTTGTAGTGTGGCCTATATAATTTTTTTTTAATTCAAATTGGTCAGAAATACAATAAATAAATTTAAATAAATAAAAAGAACATTTAAATTTAGTTTTTATAAAATTTATCATCCAAAAAGAAAAATTACATGGATTGCATGAGTAATTGTATAAAAACTAAATAAACTTTACCTTATTTGTCGTTTTCAATGAAATACATTGAAAGAAGGATTTTACCTAAATACACTTAAAATATATGTATATATAATCTGGCAGCATTTAAGCCCCCTTCTGCAGAGGGCTTTTGATTAGCCCTTCATTACAATAGGTAGGAAGGAGTAGATGCAATAGGTAACAATAAACTACAGAACTCAAAATTGATCGCTGCATTTAAGTATTGGATTAATATTTAAGCTTACCTTTTAAAAGTTTAATAATAATTCTTCAGCTGCCACTTAATTTAAAGACAAGTTCATATAAGTAGGTCCTTACTTTCCGTACAAACAATTATCTTTATTTCATGGGTGAGTTTTTTGCTGGATTTCACAATTTGATTATTCCGAAATTTATTTCCAAGTGATAAAAATTGTTATTGTACAAAAATTGCTGAAAAGAATCGCAGTAATGAAAACTTGGGAGTTTAAAATTTCAGGATTGTCTGTCTGGATCCAGCCTGGAATTTTTTTTTTAGTTTGCTCATGGAGTTGACCTGATTCCAAAATGGTATGCTATGCTGAGCTACAATCTCTAGGAGTAAAGTTGAAAGAATATGACACAGTGACATTAACATCTATCTATCTATATAAATAAATGTGAAATTTGAGCTCAATTCTCCCACAAATTCTGAGGTTAAAAGGTCCCAACACTACTTTATAGTAATTTAAAAAGCTCAATATCTGTGTTGTATATTATCTACTTGTAGATGATATCACTTTTCAGGTTTAACTAATTTGCATATTGATTTTAAAAATGTATATTTCATTATCTTTCATTACTGTTCTTATATTCAAGGATTGTTTTGATTTTCATATAAAAAAATGGTTCTGTTTAGGAGCATTGTTTTATATAGTGTAGAAAAGTGTTTAAAATTTGCATTTTACTTGGCCTTCAACAAGTTGGCATCTATTTGTAAATCTTTCCTTAACTATAACAAGCCTGCCCCGACACCCGACCAATTCATTTCTTCTGTCTTTACAGTTTTTGAACAAATATATTGAATGTCCACAACCACTTCAACATTTCATAAATAGTGAACATTAATCTTATAGAAAAACAACTAATTTTTCCTAGAAAAATTACCAAATAGTGAGTGGGCAAAGCCTGCTAATTTATCATATAGATGAATTTAAGAAGAATTAAAAAATAATTATTGTAAAGTGTGACACACTGACATTCGTATTATATAGATGTATCATAAAGAATTTGTAAGTTAACATATCATCTTTATTATAATTCTGCTTGTTTAATTACTTAGCATGTTGTGTCTTGCCAATACCCCATAAATAATGGACTATTCCATTTTGATTGAGTAGAAAGATGGAAAAGACATGTCAGAGATGCGACTTGGTTTCAGTAAGGGAAGATAGAAGTGTTTAACGTCTTTCACTGGAATGGAAATGTCATCAATTTCAAATCTTTTCATTTGTACCCCCCTTACTTCTTAAACTAACAACCAGCATTCATATTTATGATTGTTATTGCAATATTTTGTTAAAGTTGTTAAGCTCAAATATTTAACGATGCGATAGGAAGAAATTCTACAGATATTTTGTTGTCATAGAATATGCCATGAGCTTATTCAGTTATTAACTGAAGAATTAACATTCATCAGAAAATTAAAATAGGAAAACCGTGATATTTTCATGGGTATCTTTAGTTTATAGCAACAGGAAATATCTGCCTGAATTACTGGAATGAGGAAGTTATCATTATTTACACTTGGGCTATTGTCCTCATCTTTGTTGTTTTTATCACCATGTTTCAGCCTTCATCAGGGGTATATTTATTGATTTGATTTTTGATAGCTTATCAACCTTTTGCAGGTTATTTAAAGCCAGAGATAAATTTTAAATTGGAAGAATGTTTTGAAGATTATAATGATTTACTGATAAAAGTCCTGCTAATTAACTTATAGCTGAGGTGAAAAGAGGTGGATTCATACTCTTTCCAAAGTTATTTATGTGTAAGTAAATATAACGAACCTGACTGGACTTGGAACTGTCCGATTTATAATTCTGAGCCATTATCCATTATACTACCCACACAGCCAAGCGTACAGCACCTGATATTCTCAAGTGATCACCCATCTAAGTGCTGACCAGGCTCAGTGTTGCTTAACTTGGATAATTGTATAAGAACTGGTGTTTCAATGTGATATGGCTGTAAGCCATATATCAATCTAGGTAACCTGCAACAAATTAAGAACTAAACCCTTTATTTAATCTACGGTGGTAGACTGTTAATGTTCCAATGCTAATGTCTGCTACAACCTTATTCTATCATTAACTTAAGATTAATCAGAAAAAGTAAAGCCAGGTAATTTTCACAGGTAAAGATTGAAAATTTAATGACCTGTTTGAGAAATGGTTTACGACTGATCTGAAATCAGTGGAAAATAGGAAGCATTAGTAAATGAATAAATGGATTGTCTAAACGAATAGAAGGATTGTTTAAATGAATAGACAGCTTGTTTAACTTCACAAACTTGAGGTACCTGCCATAGTGCAATGATTAGCAAACTCATTGCTCAATTCTGTTTACTCAGATAGGGAGACTGACCCTTACAAGATGCCTAGCATGAGCTTAGATTCAACTTGGAAAGATGTCCATAATAAATCTCAATCAAGAATGAGGTACAATGTTATTAATATGCAACCTTATCACTTAGTCCTGTGATTCTCTTTAATTCTACTGTTCTAGTAGAAAGATGAAAAAGTACTGACTTCAAAAGATACTCTGTACACAGCTGTGTGTGTGTGTGAGTACTCAAGCAGCAGCACTTTATTAATACATGTGTAATTAACTTTTTGAGATCAATCTTCTTTTCTTTCCAACTTGGACTTCTTTATGATTTGTTGAGCTGTCAGGGACAGAATATAAACTTCACTACTCTTAGATATCTGAAAATACGAAAGTTATTAAAACTGGCCTGCCACTTCAAAAGGAGGATTCGATTTAACCCCTAATTCTTTAAAAAGTTGAAGATAAAATGAAAAGTAAAGAAAGAATGGTATTAGTTGTTGAATACAATTAAGACTTTGACATTAATTGAAAATTTTAATTGTTTTCTGCAATCAAGGGATTATTTTTTTTTATGTATTTAATAACTGATTGATATATTCTACCCAAAGGACATTGAGCAAAGTTTAACAAATGTACATGCAACCCCCCCCAAAAAAAAACAACCTGAAAAAAACATGTTTCTCTTGACACCACTATTACTATCTGTCTTTATCTCTGAGATAAGGTATGATGATTACATCTGCTGTGACAAAATGTGTGTAACTCTTGGCTTTCTCCAGGAACTCTATAATGTTAATCTTGCATTTTGGTGGGGATGTCCAGCAAGAGGGCATCTCTCTGTCCACTACATTTTCATCTTTTTATTGTCTTCCATTTCTATAGTCTGATTTGGTAAATTATGCCTGCTTTTGGCCACCATACCTTCATCTGATTTCTTGGTTTTCAACAAATTTTGGTCTTTACCAGCCACCATACTTTTGGTGGAATCCTCATTTTTGGCAGGAACTTACAAATTTTGGCCATCTTCGGCATCCATCATTTTATCTGAAACTCATTCCTTGTCATCTTTATTTTCAGATGGCTTATCAGGAAAGAGTTTCTTTTTTTCTTTGTCTAAAAATGTTTTTCCTAACCATTTTTTAAAACAAAAAAGAAGGGTCTTTTTTTTTTCTTTTTTTTTTTATAAAAGATGAAAACAGAAAAATTAATTAAACAAAAAAAGAAAAGATAAATCTCAATTTCCTTTAGATTTAAGGAAATAAAAACAAATTTAACAAGAAAAAATGTACAAAAAGAAAACTTATGTAAAACACAGACAAGAAAAAAGGGGGAAAAAAAAGACAAAAAAATTAAATATGCAAGATGAAGACAGATCACAAATTTCCTTTTCAATGAAAAACAGGAATACACACAAAAAATGGTTACATGTGCAGACTCAAAAATTAAACACAGACAAACAAGAAAGATGTTTAACAACGATAAAAATAATATAACAGTAAAAATTAAATGATATGCTGCAAAAAGAAATACGAAAAAATAACAAATTTTACAAGATGGCTGCTGCTAAAAAAAAAAAGACAAGTCAGCCCCAAATGAACGAAACATGAAAATAAAATTAAGAAAAAATGAACAGATTAAATAAAATAAACACAAAAAATTAGAAAAAATAAGCACAGAAGGTCTAACAAATAAAACACAGACCTAAAAATATTTAAAAAGAAAAAACAAAGTAAATAAACAAAGAAAAATAATGTCTTGTGGTAGAGTAAAAAAAAAAAAAATGAGAAAAGAAAAAATGAAACTTTGGCAAAAATGCAGTCAATAAAGAACTTAAGTTTATTTCTTTTTTACCTTTTTAAGTGTGGTACAAAAACAGTTTACAGAGGGGCAAAAATATGTCAGGCGCTAAGCACTGGTTGTAAATGGTCTACAAAAAAACAAATTCTCATTACTACCATGGCAAAGAGCGGTATTCAGTCCCCCCCGCCACGAGGGCATCATGTGGCACAAGGCCGGTTTAACATGGGATCTCCGAGCAAAGAGCGCACCCGAACAATTATCATGAAAGTATTTATAGAAGAGGCAGCAGTAGGCAACTTTACAGAAGTAGAAAAGTAATTGAAGCAAAGATGCCAGATCAGGACTAATAATATTGCTGATACTTCTTTGGATTTTATCAAGGACCTCTAGATATATAGCAGGAGCACCAGACCATATGTGGCAGCAATATTCTCAATGTGGGCAAATTATAGACTTATAGATATGTAAGTTAGATTCTGGAAAGAAAAATTGTCTCGCACAATACAATGAACCCACTTAGCAGCTTACCTAGCAATGGGTTCAATATAGTCTTTTCTCTTTATGTCAGCTGAGAATATTAGCCCGAGAACACGCAACAAGTCACTCTCCTGGAGATTAATATCAGTAATGCTGATTGACAAGGGTATTTTGGAATTCTTGAATTTGTTATTATTAAAACCCAGAGTTGGTTTTTAACTTGAAATTAGTTTTCAGCAAAGAAGTTACTACAACTGCAATGATTACACACCTGCAATCTCCACAGAATAATGACGACAACCAGGTGAAATCCAGGTAGAATCTGGTTGCCTCCCAGTTTGCTGATGTCAACAAATGATGTCTATGAAGATAAAAAAAATATTACTAAGTGACGATGCCAAGAATACATTTTTGGTAGTGTAGTAACAGAATGACAGATAGCTAAAATGAAAATGAGCAGCAGCAACCTTGTGCAGTAAATGCTGTGCTAATAGCACAACACTTCACAATTTACATGGGATCAAAAAGATGGATTCAGTAGATCCCCCATTGTTGAATGGAAAATATGAAGTTGTTAAATAAATTTGTTAATCTTTTATAAAAAGTTAACAAATTTATTTAATAATAATAATTTTTTTATTACATTGGATCAAAAAGATGGATTCAGTAGATATAAAATTGTTGAATGGCAAATATTAGGTTGTTAAATAAATTTGTTAATTTTCGTATGAAAAATTAATAAATTTATTTAATAATAATAATTTTTTATTACATTGGATCAAAAAGATGGATTTTGTAGATCCCCCATTGTTGAATGGAAAATATTAGGTTGTTAAATAAATTTAAACTTCTTTTAAAAATTTTCCATTCAACAATGGTGGATCTAATGAATCCATCTTTTGATCCCATATGGTTTGACAGGGTTGTGCTATTAGCCCAGCATTTATTGCACAAGGTTGTCTCTGCTATTGCTCATTTTTGTTTTTGCAATCTGTAATTCTGTCACGACACTAAAAAAAATTCATTCTTATTATCGTCACTTGGTAACATTTTTTATAATTTATTTTCATATTTGTTATTAATCGTTCTGATGAATCATACAACAATATATGTCTCTTCATTGTTTATGACCTGCACTAACTGTTCAGGGCTTATGGCCACATCATGTTGAAACACTGGGCCCCGTAAATCCACTGAAGTTAAGCAATGTTGAGCCAGGTCAGTACCCTGATGGGTGAAAGCTTGAGAATACCGGGTGCTGTAAGCTTGGATGTGCAGATAGTGTAATGGATAATGGCTCAGAATTGTTAATTGGAGAGCTGAGTTCCAATTCTTTTTGGGTTCGTTGTATTCACTTACATGCAAATAGCCTTAGGAAAGGTATGACTCCACCTCTTCTCTGTCAGCTATGGGTTAATTAGTAAGACTTGTATCACTAAATGTTTATTATCTTAAAAATTTTTAAACTCTAAAAACATTTTCTGCCTTTAAATAACTTGAAAAGGGTTGATAAGCTGTAGAAAATGAATGAACCAATCAATCAATGAAATATTGATTAGCTACACAGGCATGTCTTAGATTCATTTACATTCTCTGGAATATAAATTTATAGAAACTACTCTGGTGACAAAGTGAAGGATCAGTTTATATAATGATTGTAATGTAGAATTGATCCCCCACTTTTCTACATTATAATTTCTTGTTTGTTAATAAGCCATAGAAAACGAATCAATCAAATACTGATTAACTACAAAGGCATGTCTTTTAGATTTATTTACATTCTCTGGAATGTAAATGTATAAAATCTACCTTATCTACAAAGTGAAGCATTAGTTTATATATTAGTTGTAGTATATAATTGATCCCCCACTTTATATCCGCATTATTTCTTGTTTGTTTATCAAATTCAGATTAAGTATGAATCCACCTCTTTTTCCACCAGCTTTATAATAAATATAATAAGCTTTTATAAAAAATTAACAAATTTGTTTAACAGCCTAATATTTTCCATTCAAGAATTGACTCAAAAAATTCATCAAGCCACATTTTAAGCTCCACATCATGTGGAAACAAAACACCCATTAAATTCTTAGAAAAAGACCAAAAAAGGGTGTCTGAGGGGGTCTAAATCTGAAGTATATGGTGGGTGTGTCAGAAATTCTTAACCAATCTCTTGTATTTTCGATCATGTTAATGATGTGTAGGTAAGCATTATCATGTTGACCAATACTGTATTGCTGCTCAGGACTTTTCAACTGAATTGTCTCTTTGAGGCTTCATTTCTTTAATGTACAGCTTAGAATTGACCGTTTGATTGTTCTGGACCTTACCCAGTGGGTGAAGATGACTAGTGACAGTATCACGAAAGCTTGACATCTGAACAAATTCCTTGGAGGTGGGGATCTGGTTTGGTTCTTCTTTAATCAATGTGTGCAATTGGTTCTCATCGAACTGAACAGGTTGAGCAGAATGCAGAGAGTCTGAATTCAAACTTCCCCTCCTTAAAACTTGAAAAACCATTTCTGTGCCATTCTGTCATGAATGAAGTCATCTCTGTACACAGCACAAACATCTCAAGCAGACTTGGCAGCAAGATTAAAAGCAAAGAGAAGAAGATGTCAAACATGCTCATTCTTGTATATTTGGCATTTTATCTTAAAGGGATGTTTAATTTGAAATAAAATTTCAATAACGTTAGACAAAAGTTTCACAGGATGACCAGAAATACTAAGAAGCAAAGAATGGGACAAAAGGTTATTTTTTGAGATCATTCACAGAACATCAGAAAACACAGATATATATATATAAAACAACTGAATAATAAAATAAAGCAAAATGTTTAGAATTGACTGCATGAACCTATCCTAATATTCTTGTCCGCATTAAATAACCCATTGAGGTTAATATGCCATAAAAAAAAATAAATTAAACAAAGTCAAATCAAAATTAGAAAGTGCCAACTAGATGATGTACATAGGTGTGCCAATACATCTGGGTCTGCAATAGCAGGATACAATTTTTAAAAATTGAGAATGTACAATGTTCTTCTGTGAGGACATCTCTGCATTGGGCAGGTTGCATTCTAGCTATCAACAAAAAGTTGTGGATGCTATTTTTTTTTTTTTTTTTTTTTTTTAAATCAAAGCAACCTTCCTTGTATAAACAGAAGAATTGAAGAAATTGAAAATGATTACCTTCCTGAACAAGACTGCCTTGATAGAAAATCAGAACTTGTTTGTAAATGTAAGAATGAGAACAAGTACTTGCTGTTATTTAGCTCCTGACTAAATGGAATGCAATATTTTTGATTTGGTAGGTGACAAATATTACTGCCACCATCTTAAATAGTTGATGCATGCAAATTGGTCGAATTTGTTGAGCCATTTTATTTTGGTATATGATGATCATGTTTATTGTGAAACTGACAGTAGTACCTGGAAGCCTGTAAAGACCAGGATTTTACATGGTCTATATTGAACTTTATAGTGACTTTTATCTTTGATAATGAGACCTATAAATCTCTTTAGAAGTTGGTCCTACCTACATAGTTGACCACTCAATTTCGACTGAAGAGAATTACTCAATATGTCTTGGTGCAGTAGCACCTGTTAAGGTTCCAGCTGTGGGCAAATAGTTAACCCCCAAATTGAGGTCAAAACACTATGGAAGTATAAAAAAAAAGATTTTTATAGTAAAATTACCAGCAATACTTGAAAAACAAATATTGCCAGTGATACATTTGACACTTGGCAAAAATCCTCTTTACAAAAATATGTCAAGGAAATCTGATCTACAAGCTGATTTTTTACAAAGAATGCATATTCTATTCATATGAACCTATCCTAAAATTCTTGTCAGCATTAAATAACCCATTGAGGTTAATATACCATAAAAAAAATAAACCAAACAAAGTCAAATCAATATGTCCTTTTTATTAGAAAGTGTTAACTAGATGATGTATATAGGTGTGTCAATACATCTGGGTCTACAATAGCAGGATACAATTTAAAAAATTGAGAATGTACAGTGTTCTTCTGTGAGGACATATTCTCTGCAGGTTGCATTCTAGCTATCAACTAAAAGTTGTGGATGCTATTTATTTATTTATTTTTAAATCAAAGCAACCTTCCTTGTATAAACAGAAGAATTGGTTGTGAGGACTTAGTGTGATCTACTTTTGAAAAAATATACTTATCTCACTGTTAAATAATTTCAGACTATTATTTTTTAGTGGCAGTTTACAGACCTTCTGAGGATGACCTTTAAGGTCAGATGGTAGACAAAATAGGGATGTCGATTTTGATTGGCTGAGCCAAACATGGGAATATTAGAGAGATAGTGATTTTGGGGAGTTAAGTTTTACACGTCGAGAATGTAGACGTGTTATTTTCATGGGTGGAACTTGCTCCCCAGAAGAGGTGAAAGAGTGACCGCACTGGTTAGTTAAAAATGTACATGTTGATGTGTTTAATAAAATAGATAGGTTTAAAATCCCTTTTGTTGAATTTCTCATTTTACCTCTGACCTAAAAACCAACTAGTGATCACCTGGTCAAGAGTAGAGAGGAAGACAACTTTATTATGATCGCCTCCAGACTGTCAACCAAGACCTCCCCAGAAGACGGAGTATACAATATCACTATATGATTGAAATGGCTGTATGTTCTTTTTTCTGTGTGCAATAATTTTATTTACTCACTTTGATTAAGCTCTGATGAGTGAGGAGCAATAACTGGTTATGTCATTCCATTTTCTCTTTCTCTGGGATGTGTGGGTGGTGTAATGGTGAGTGGCTTGGAATGAGAAAGGGAAGAGTTGAGTTCATTACATTAACTTTTGCACAAAGGTATGGATCCATCTCTTGCCCCCACCTATGGGTTAAATAGGACTTGTATCTGGAAAAATAAATGTTTTTGTTTTTTAAGAATAGTAGACTATGTTATAACCCTCAATAGGAAGAATGAGAAAAAAACAAAAAAAAACATAATTCCCTGATGTTTTCTTTGTTTTTCAGGCCACAATTGGAGTATGCAATGCCAAAAAGCCAAGCATGGTAGACTTTGTGGGCAAAGCCAAATATGATGCCTGGAACAAGCTTGGCCAGATGTCAAAGGTTAGTTTAGATCCTTTTTCACATGCAGATATATACATGCATACGCACACACACACACACACACACACACAGTCCACCCCCAAAATGAGTACACACTTCGGGAAAGGAAAAATTTGTATCGATATTGTAATACTAAATTTATTCAGGCATCACAACATTAATACACCATAGATGCCCAAAATGGTAGCCGTTAGCTTCCAGATATTTATTGATACAGTGAACTACTGCTTGGGCAACGTTGGCCAGTGTCCATTGGGATTGCTACACATGAATTTTTAATTTCAGGTCTAAGGTCTGTCAATGTAGTCATTTCTTTTGTGATATTTAACATCCTTTCGGTCTTGTTGATACTACACCCATGAGCCTAATGCCATTTGTCAAGAAGATATGAAAGTTATCACAATTTGATAAAACTTTTCTGAAGTATGTATACATATTTGGGACAGACTCTGTGTGTGTGTATATATATATATATATATATATATATATATATACACACAGTGGGGCAAAAGTAGGCATACACTTTAGTTTTTGGGAAAAAAAAACATTTTATTATATTTATTTATTACAATTACATTTGTTTATCACAATTTCATAAGTGCTCCAAATGTTTTCTTTTGGAATTTTTGGGACTGTTCACAAATATCAGAGTGACTTTCACCTCATTTTCTTCATTAATAGATGTCCTGGGACATCCAGATTCCCATGTGTTAACCTCTGAACCCCCCCTTTTTTTTATCAAATTTTATCTCTTATACATTGTAAATTGTCAGTCTATGTTAGTGGAACAGTGTCAAATGCTTCTATCTATGCTTTGTACACCTGCTCAGCATATTCAATCTTTCAATAATGCTTTAGAATCTACTTTCTCTGTTCTTAACTCTTATTTGCCATTATTCACAATACCACTAAAAAAATAAAAAGTTTATATATATATATATATATATAGACAAAAGTTCATTTTCTCCAGCAAAAGACATTCATTTCTGTAGTTTAGTGCTACCAGCAAGCAGAAATATTTCTCCTCCCGATGATGGCCATTTCGGTCGAAACTAGTCGAGGAATCTAAATGGAATAATAATAAAAAACCGGAAGAATGTTAATCTACAACCCAGTGTGTCTAAAGATTTTAATTTTTTTATTTTCTTAATGTTCAAAATATATATATATATTCTGTTATGCCCAGGATTCCGTTTGGACTATGATAGCCGGGACACAACAAGAAAATAAAAAAATAAAAAATAAGAGATCCCAGGGTTCAATGTAAAAATAAAGTAAAAGAACAGTGGGAGGGGAATTCTCCGAATCCTGACACCGGTAAACACCACAAGAAATATACAATGCATAGACTCAAAACGACAGGAGACAATACGAGAATTTATAACAGAAATAGTTTATTTACAGATATACAAGATGCAAAAGTAAGACAAGAAAGAAATAAACAAAATTTAATAACACAAGGGATGGGGGGGGAGATGAGTAATCAATCGGACAAATATTACAGCGACGAATATCATAGGAATATAGAGCAAGCAGACAATAAGATATATAAAAACATTCAATACTTACAGTAGATGGTGATCGACATCGATCAGGATTTTTATCAATAATACAGTGTAACGAAAAAAAGATTTTCATACTTTTTTTTTTTTTTTTGTTTCTTTTTTTCTGAACATAAAAGGGAGGGATTATCAATGTTCTAATATACACATGTGAATCATAAAAGCATAGCCGACTTGGGTGATAATGTTCTTAATTCTTCGGGCAGCAAACAGCGAAATTTGGTTTCGGTGACATCTACTTCTTTCAACTGCAAACGGCTAAGACAGATTCTGGTGACATCTACCTGATCTGGGGCCAAGCATCTAAGTGAAGAAATGTTACCCCAACACGCGCGAAACAGAACCGTCACATGCCAGCCTACAAAAAAAATGGGGGTTATTTGCACTTAATTGTCGAACAGCGTTCGTCTGGCCTACGATCAAGGACCAGACAGGAAATGAGAGGTTCTGCTTTTTCAAGAAATAAAGAAGTTATTAATATTCCTATGTCTCGTTGCACATACACAATGTACCTAAAATATACTTATAAAATCTGACGTGAGGGTACAAATAATGGGCTAACATAACAATATGTATATGTATCTGTGTATACATACATACATACATACATACATATATATATATATATATATATATATATGTATATGTATATATTTCTTTTTTCCTTATCCCACAACCATCCTTTACTTTTTCCTTTCTCCCCTTTTATCAGTGACCTGTTTGTGTATACAAGGGTGTCTTGGGATGGAAGATTCAATTTACTACCTGCGAATACTAAATTGTTACTAACCACATTAGTAGGAAGTTTGGTTCTCTAAAAATCTTCTATATATTTATGTGTCTTTTAATAAGTATCACCCCATGCAAGGCAGTAACTCCACTTAGACACAACGGATTACAGGGTGTTGAAGTATTAGGAATGGAAACATTCATAATGAGTGGGGAGAAAAGAGTCATCAGGAGGACAGTAGACTGCGATTGACAATTGCATTTAAATTTTCTTCAGATTAAAGATGACCAGAAAGCATTGAGTCATAAATGACATGTGCAAGAAAAACTGTTAGAATAGAACTCATCTGAACAATTACCATGAAAGTATTTATAGAAAAAGCACAGAGGCAACCTTATGTTGCTGGGAAAATGACATACATATATATTCGGTTGGATATATGGAGTTTGTGACCCTGGGTTTCATGCTTTTGCGTTTATCGGACGATCACAAAAGCGTGAAACCCAAGGTCACAAATTCAAATCAATCCAACCAAATATGTTAGCTCTATCACTGATATTGAGTGCTTTCTAATAAGTACCATGCATATAATATATAAATAATAATATATAATATATTACACATATATAGAGGGTGTCCATAAAGTTCGTGTGCACTTTAAAAAATTTAAAATTTTATTTGTGTTTGTGATAGAAATAATTTGTAAAAAGGGTTAGAAAGAAATTATTGAACTTTTATTTAAGTTTCCACATGTTCTCCATCATTAGCAATACAAAGGGTAATACGATTTTGCAGTTCATGGAAAACATTTGCCAACTGATATACAGTGATGCCTGAAATCACATTAGTTATTTTAGCTATACTTAAAAGTATAACATTTTTTACAGATTATTTCTATCACAAATACAAATATAGTTGTAAATTTAAAAAAAAATTTAATGAACTTTATGGGCACCCTGTATGTATGTATGTATGTATGTATGTATGTATATATATATATATATATACACACACATATATTAGATAACTGTTTTTTAAACAGTATATTTTAATTTATCACCCTGGGTTTTCAAGAGTCTTTTAAATAAAGAAAATGCGCCCTTTGGCAAGATTCAAGCCTTCACCTCTTCCCATGTAGGCTTGATATTCTTTTAAACCAAGTCTGCTATGAATCACTTTACATCAAAGCAATGTTAAATTATATTTCCTCATTTTTATTTTTGTATGTGAAATGTAAACAAAGTAATTTTAAATTTTAGAGCAATTAATGGATTTTTATTAAGTAGATACTTGTGTTTGAATGGACCAGAAAGTAGTAGAAATGGAGCCTTAGTCCACTTCAAAGTACTCCCCTTAGGATTTAGAATACCATTAGCTTTCCATCATATTCTTCTTAATCTTTAGTATAATCTGAAATCTCCTTTTCAACCAAGGAAAAAAAAGCAGAAGTCATGAGGTAAATCCAATCAGTCAAGGAGTTTACAAACTTAGTTGATGTTAATTTTTACCTGAACTGGCTTTAAAATATTTACACTATTTACATTGTTTGAAATGTTGTCCTCATCTTTGTCACATTCGTGACATTTCAGTCATTGTATGCTCCAGCCTTTGTCAGGTAATATTTGTTGGAATTTTAAAATGAACTCTTTTAGTTCTAAGATTGTTCTAATTCCATGTCCCATGCCTTTGGATATCTATCTCTATGGACTAAATAAATTGTTCGGTTTGAAGTTCCAACAAATATCACCTGAAGAAGGCTAGCGTGTACAACAGTCGAAACATCATATGTCAATAAAGATCAGGACAACAATTTGAGCAATGTGAATAGTTACAATATCTCTGGAATATAGAGAGATGTTAGTTTGAAAATGTCCTTTTTGTTTACAATTTGTCCTTTTTGTCTATAATTTCATGCCATTCAGTATTTGTCTATATTTCTGAGATGAGGTATTATGTACACTATTTACATTATTTGGACTATTGTTAACAGGAGATAACTGTTAACCAACATCCATTAGACATTGCATGTGGAACTAGAACGGTCTACCCCAGTGAGCAAAATAAAGGGTTCAGTTCGACATTCTAACCACCTGAAGAAGGCTGGAGTGTACAATGGCCGAAACGTTGTGATAAATACTCTCTTTTTTTTTTATTATTCATGCTATTTATATTTGGATGATTGTCCCTATTTTTACTGTTGTTATTTGGCCGTTGTGCCATCCAGCCTTCCTTGGGTGTATATAAATCTGGGTAACCTACAGGGAATTCTGAAACTGAACCCTTTATTTAATCTACGGAGGTAGACTGTTCTTGTTCCACTGTCCATGTCTAGGGATATATTGATTAGTTTTTATTTTTTTTTTTATATATTTCACTCATTATTATTATCAATATGTAAGTTAGATGAAGAAGTACATAAAAAGTGAGGCTTACATTATCTTGAAACACTGGTTCTCATTTGATCACCAAATTTATGCAACGTTGAGCCTGGTCAGTACATAGATGGGTGACCGCTTGGGAATACCAGGTGCTATATGCTTAGATGTGTGGGTGGTGGCTCAGAATTGTTAATCAGAGAGACTAGTTCCAATTCCCATTGTGTTATATTCAATCAATTACTAGCAGCCATAGCCAGCTGGTCATTCAGAAAAAGCATTCAATTAGAATGGAGCAAAAACAGCATCATGTTTAGATGTAACAGACTCTATCTTCAATTACTTTTAAAGTACTTTCATAAAAAAACATTTGAATTAATGCAGTTACTGATATAACAGAAGTAGTTTGTATTTATTCAATCAACTTAGCCAAGGACATGAAGGGTTAAAACAGGTAACATGAAGACCCACTTCAGACCACAATTATTTTGGAGTTTTTGAAATTCAATTTGTCAGTGTGCTACCAGGGATAAAAGAGGATACATTTATAAAGCAATTGTTAAGTTTGATGAAAATTGGATCAATGAAAAATAACAAAGAAACCAGTAAAAATCACAACTTTTCAAGTGGACTCAATTATCAAGTTAAACAATCAATTTGTTGGCTACAATTGAGTGTAGTTTGTATTAGATTGCTTGAAAATTGAGGGAGTTTTTAGTTTAAAATTTGTATTGAAATTGATTTTTCATTTCTTGCTGTTTTTCACTAAATGCAGTGGCGTAGAAATAAAATGAGGCATTGTTGAATTTGTCATGATGTAAGTAACCTACATACCAAGTTTAACTGAACTCTGAGGAAAAAGGTTGAATTGATTTTATTTTGATTTTTTAAAAATTATTGTATTTTTTTTTATGCTAAGTACCTATCTCTTAAAGTGTACAATGTATATGACAAGTTTGGTCAAAATTGGTTGGATGGATTTTGAGTGAAAAGGTATCACACAAACAAACACACAGACATCCTCTGTTTTATATATACATAGATGTGCAAATATCCTTGAGAAAGATATGAATCCAATGCTTCTTTCCCCTGCTATGGGTTAATTAGTAAGACTTGTATCATTATCTCCTCCACAAAAAAATTCTTAGAATCTAAAAATATTTTCTGGCTTTAAATAACCTTCAAAGGGTTGATAAACTGTAGAAAACAAATCAATCCATGAAATGCTGATTAGCTACACAGGTATGTCTTTTAGATTTATTTGAATATAAATGTATAAAATCTACCCTAGCTATGAAGTGAGGGATTAGTTTATATATTGAGTGTAGCATATAAATGATCCCCCCCACTTCCACATAATTTCTTGTTTGTTTATCAAAATCTGATTACGTATGAACCCACCTCTTTCCCCACTAGCTATGGGTTAATTAGTAAGACTTGTATCACTAAATTATTATTATCTCACAGACCTAAAATTCTTACAATCTAAGAATATTTTCTGGCTTTAAATAACCTGTAAAGAGTTGATAGGCAATGAAATATTGATAACTGTAACTTTTTACTGATGGATGTAGAGCTACATTGGATGGACACTGGTTAAGTTTTTGTATTTTTTGTCATCCATTTTTGTTTTTTGATTTACCACTTTACAGCAACTATAAAAAATTTTTGTTATTCTTTCCTGTTACTTTAGTATGTGCAGAAAACACTAGTTCTTGTTTGATCACTGAAGTTAAGCAATGTCAAGCCTGGTCAGTACTTACATGGGATTTTTTTTTTTTTTTTTTTGGTTGGTTTGTTTTATGGCATATCAACCTCAATGGGTTATTTAATGCCGACAACTTTTTTTTTCTGGTAATATTTTTTGCCTCAGAAATGTATAGCTGGTAATATTATTTTAAAAAATGTATTACTGGTAATTTTTTTTTTTTTTTTTTTTTCAAAAAAACATTGCTGGTAATGGTTTCTTTTTTTTTTCTTCAAATATTTATTTCTGGTAATAATTTATTTTTTACAAAGTATTTCTGTTATTAAAACCTATTTTTACACTTTCATAATGCTTTTTACCTCAGTTTTGGGGTTAACTATTTGCCTATAGCTGGGACCCTAACAGCTACTACCACCCCAGGTCAGGGTGGAACTGGGAACACCAGCAATTAAGAGGTTGTTCCATGCTTCTCAAAACCTCCTGATCAGAGGCCTTGGTGTTGGACATAGTTTATTGTCTTACCCTAGACGTGGATGTAGTTTATCATCATACCCAGGATGCTTACATGAGGGGACCACTTGGAAACACTGGATACTATAAGCAATTGCCTACAATTTGAAATATGTTTTACTCTTAAATAACCTACAAAGGGTTGATAAATTGTAAAATAAACAATCTTTGTTAATTTTTTATTGAAATATTTAAATACATAGATCAAATTCATGATCTCTAAGTGGGGGCCTTCTAAAAGTGGGTTTTGAGATATATACAGGGTGTCCATAAAGTTCGTGTGCACTTTAAAAAATTTGTAACTTTATTTGTATATGTGATAGAAATAATCTGTAAAAAATGTTATAAAGTTTAATGTACCTAGTTTTAAGCATAGTGAAAATAACGATTTCAGGTATTACTGTAAATCAGTTGGCAAATATTTCCCGTGGACTGCAAAATCATATTACCCTTTGTATTGCTAATGATGGAGGACATGTGGAAACTTAAATAAAATTTCAATAAAACCTTAAAAATATAGATTTCTTCCTTTTTGACAAATTATTTCTATCGCAAATACAAATAGTTATAAAATTTTTAAAAAGTGCACATGAACTTTATGGACACCCTGTTATATGTATATATATATATATATATATATATATATATATATATATATATATATAAAAAAATTTTTTTAATTAACCAGATATTACTTGTATGCATATGTATTGCTATTTTTTTGTTTAATTTGCCAATTTGATTTTACTATGATAGTATACATATATATTGCTGAAACCTTCCCAAATGGTTTAGAATATTACATTCTAATTCTTTGTTTCTGACTGTATTTTCAGGACGATGCCCAGTTGGAATATATAAAATTGGTTAATAAGTTGGCTGCAGAAGAAAGTCCTGTCACAGATACAGAGTCAGGCACAATGAAACGATACAACCAGCTGCTTGTAACCAATGAGAACCGTATCTTTAAGATTGTTCTGAATCGACCAAAGAAAAAAAATGCCATCACCTTAGAAGTAAGTAATTTAATGTTTTTTTTTTTCTTTACATATTCAAAATTACATTGGCAACATTGGATTATATAAAAAAAAAAAAACATTGACAAATGCTTTTCACTTTTAGGAGTAATTGGCCATGGTTAAATGGATTGACAAAAGCCTCAACAAAAGGAATTGACAAAGTTCTCAAACAAAAAAATGGAGAAAAAAACCAAGTTTCAATTGGGCAGTTACTCCATTTATAGCAAGCACTATATAAACCATTGAAATCTATGCATTTCACAGATGTGGGTCCATAAAGTTATATATAATGTATGTGTAAGTTTAATGTCTCGGATATTGTGTGTAAACAAATCGGCAAAGAGATCTGTAATTCTAAGTGAATGGCAGTTTGGAAATTTAAAAATAGTCTCTTTTAGGACATAAATAGGGTCTTTTCTGTTAATGTTGTGGACCCAGAATAGGTCCAAAAGAAAACTTGAACTCATCAATTTAGTGAAAGTATATTATTAACAAAAAGAACGAATAAAAAAAATGTTTTACGTCAGACTGATGGCAAAAATAACGTTAGTCAACTTGAATATATATATAGAAAACTCTCTTGAGAGGCATAGTCTCCCCATACATATAGTAATAGGATGAGTCCATAAAGGTAGGTCCCATAACAGTTAATTTCCCAAAAATAAAAAAAAAAATTTATATTTACTAAAATTCACACCAAAGAGTGAGGTCTTTCCATCGCACTCTGGTTGGGCCAACCTTTGCAATCAGCCCAAATATGGACAACTTGGGTGTGCTATTTGTCGGGTCAGTGTTCATGCTCACTCTGATAAACAAGATTTTTTTTTATTTATAATTTGAAGAGTGCCAAAAATTTAAGAAAAACCAAACTTCAATTTAAAATTTATAATTCCTTGGGGTGAATTAATATTTGTGATAATGAACTTTACATTATTAGGGTTAGATTAACAGAAAAGATCACATAAGTATTGTAATATATATCCTATTTGGTGGTATTTACCCAATAAGTTAAGGGTCTCAGGCTTGAGGGGTGTGGATTATTTGACTATGGTTAAGTGTAATTGACAAAATTCTCAAACAATAAGAGGAATAAAAAATAACAGGGAAAATAAAACTAAGTAAACACTATATATTCAAGTCAAAACTAGGCAAAGTAACAGTAATAAGGTAAAAAGTTCACAAGGTGAGAATGGTGTTAACATGCAAAAAGGGATACAGTCAATTGATTATAGTGTTCTGACTTCAAAACAAAAATATGGTGGATGAGACCAAAAAGTGGACCATTTTTATTAGCTAGGAAGAAATCCCGGCATGCAACGGTAGGACTTGCCTATAAATTTGTTGAGTGAGGTTTTTTTTAGAGGTCAAAAAAGGTCAAAACCAAGAAGGTTTGTCTTTCTGATCTTTTGGTATGTGGAGTTATTACACTATTCACATGTGGACTATTGTCCTCATTTTAGTTATCACAATATTTGGTGGGTCTTAGGGTTGAGGTGCCCGGAGTAATTGGCTATGGTTAAGTATAATTGACAAAATTCTTAACAAACAATAAAAAGGGAGAAAAGGTCTTAATTTGCCAGTTACTCCATTTATAGCAAGCACTATATATAAACCTTTGTGCAACACCTATCCTGACCCCCCACTGGATTGATGTACTCTACAAGACTGGTCGTTAATTTAATACTCAACAGGACATATTGAAGAAAAGCAGGAAAGAGATAGTAATCTACCTTATTGAAATTTTATCCCTGTTCTGCTATCCAAGGAATGGTAAAGGATAAAAAATTGACAAATCGACAAAAATCAGGAAGTTGTGGAGAGCTGTTGTCATACATATCCTAAAAGGACTTTACACATAAAATAATAAGAAAAAGTGAATAGATAGCAGAACAAGGATAAAGAGGAATAGTAAAAAGTCAAAAGTTACTTAGAGCAACAAAATATAGGAAGATGTGAAGAGCTATGGTTGTAATGTTTTAAAAGGACACAAGGATATCAGATCATGGATTAAGAAGTATCGTAAAAGGTAAAAGCAACACGACTGGAACTTGTGATGAACCATTAATGAAAATGGTTTGCTGAAAAAAAAAAACCTTCATGTCTGCAAATACTTTTACTCCAGTGACGATTCTGAAGACTTGTAAAAACTTTAAAAGGCAAAGAAAATAGCATATAATTTAAAAAAAAAAAAAAATATTATTCAATTTCCCATATCATGTTTTCAACATCTGTAGAAGTGATATGAGTAATGGGGTAGATTTAGAAAAGGAAGATATTTGCTACAACCATTGGACAAGTAAAACAAGACATCTGGACTGGAAGAATGTCATGCCAAGATCTCTGATAGGAATTGACCTCAGTCAGAAGAGGACATGGGAAGAGCGTTTATAAACACCTTACGTCTGCAAATTTCAAACTGTGGAAGCAATGTTTCTCAAATTGATGCAAGAAGAGAAATTATGTCATTTGACAAATTATCACTGATCATCAGAGTCTGCCTATATTTCTGAGATGAGGCATTATGTACATTATTTACATTATTCGGACTATTGTCCTCATCTTTGTCGCCATGGTCTACTGCAGAAAAAATGGTAACCTCCTGCGGGAAAAAATTTGCCTTGTCAGTCATATATCAAAAGATACATGCTCGACTAAGCTTATATCATGCCTGGCACATAACTGACTGACTGATTGTAATTATTTGCGCTATTTATATTGTTTGGACTGTTGTCCATCTTTGTCATACTGATGTTTCAGCTGTTGTATACTCCAGCCTTCTTCACTGTGCCATGTGTCCTCAAGGACACATGGCACAGTGGATTAAAGGTGTTGGTTAGATCCAGTGACAGCACCCAAAGACTGTGAGTTCAATACCCAGTTAAGCCAATGGATAACTTTCAGAGGGAAATTAACAGGCGATAACGGATAACTGACATCCATCAAACATGGCACGTGGAACTAGAACAGTTTACCCCGGTGAGTGAAATAAAGGGTTCAGTTCAACATCCAACCACCTGAAGAAGGCTGGAGCATACAACGGCTGAAACATTGTGATAAATATGGCGACAAAGATGAGGACAATAGTCCAAATAATGTAAATAATGTATAACTGATCATAAATTAAAGTCAAGAGTAAATCCACAAATTCAAGTGTTAGAATGACAATGGTAATATTAGCCGTTTCCTTTTATCCACTGGGCCATGTGTCCTTGGCAACATATATCACCTGAAGAAGGCTGAAGTATACAACAGCTGAAACAACATAAGTATGACAAAGATGGACAATAGTCCAAACAATATAAATAGCGCAAATAATTACAATCAGTCAGTCAGTTATGTGCCAGGCATGATACAAGCTTAGTCAATCATGTATCTTTTGATACATGACTGACAAGGCAGATTTTTCTCTGCAGGAGATTGCGATTTCTTTCTGCGGGAGACCAGTTGCCATCCAATAGAACCCGGTCTGTCTTGCTATTTACCTATAGCTGGAGGGAGAAGAGGAGGATTCATACCTTTCCCAAGGGTATTAGCATCTAAGTGAATGTAATGGATTTGGCTGGAATTTGAACTCGGATCTCCAATTTCTCAATCCGAACGGCTATCCATTATTCCACCGTACAATAGACAGTGTTTATAATTGTTTTCAACTCTTTACCATTTATTTATTTTTCTTCTGGTGAGGGTTTTCACATGTTGGTGAATCTTCTGAATGACAGGTTATCAAATATTTTAGAAATACTCTGTATTTTCCAACAACAGGTATGGACTATTTTGTTAGGTGAATGAGTCCATTTTTTTTTTATCATTTCTAACCTTAACCACTGATGGTAATACTTTTTCCTTACAAGAAAACATTTGGCATTCATGGACTCAGCAACCAGTACTACACAAGTTAGGCTTTACTACACTCCCTGTTCATTGGGGTGGGATGAAAGTGTAGTATCTGCTATTCTCATATGAAATGACATTAGTTGTTTCCTTATGATGAAATATTTGGCATTCATTACTATTTTCAGTTGAAATTTAAAATTTTTCCGTTAAAACAATTTCTCAGGACTGGTTTTTTTTTTTTTCCCCCCCAATGTTGATAGGTGTTTAAGCTTTCGTTTAAAGTAGTATGGAATGTCAACATCTTGATTATCATAATTTCTCTTTGAGTTACATGTGCCATCCGTTTTAGTTGTTGCTGCTGTTGAAAGTCCTTAAGTGATGGGGTTTCTCTTATTTTGTACTTTTTTTTTTTTTGTATTCTATAGTGCCAATTCACAAGGTTCATGTTTATACTAATTTTGGACTCTGGCCAAATAATACTGAAAACACTGATTCTTGTTTGATCACTGAAGTTAAACAGTGTCGAACACGGTACTTTGATTGAACTGATTGGGTACACTGGATATGTACTTTCATCTAACTGCATGAATATTCAAGAAAACTTAAAGTAAAATATTCACTCTCTGGTAGACGAAAATAAATATACTGTTTAATAAATATATAAAGAGTGTCTAATCAAATAAGTGTATCCACTAAAAATAACATTTAAAGTGATTTTATATAGAACTAGCAGGCTTCACCTTCTTGCTACCACCTCGCAAAGTAAGATATATTCATTACTTGAAATCTTTGAAACAAAAATTTTAAATTTTAACATTTCATTCATAAATTGGCTTGTTCAGGAAAGTTTTACAAATAGATGCCAACTTGTTGAGGGCCAAGTAAAATGCAAATTTTCAAAAACTTTTCTGCACTATATAAGACGATATTCCTAAACAACTATTTTTGATATGAAAATCAAAACAATCCAATCAGTAATGAAGAACAGTTAATTAATGAAATAAATTTTTTAAAAAATCAATATGAAAATTAGTTAAACCTGAAAAGTGATATGGCCTGAAATGTCATGTATGACATAAAAACTGCTGGATCCTCATATGTTAATAGCGACGGAAGTCCATCACACACACACACACACACACACACACACACACACACACACATACATATATATATATATATATATAAGTACTAATGGATTAATTTTTAATCTGACATTTTAGTTGTTATCTGTATGAGTAAGATGCTGTTTTTTAAACTGCGTGTACTATGTCTACTGATTTGTACACATGGAAAACTTTGGCAGTGTTCAAGCCTGCATAGGAGAAACCAGTCTAATCCAGTGTGTTTTAGGCAGCTCGGCCATAGAGACTGTCACAGCCCAGCCAGGTTCTATTTAGAATGCGCATCCTCCTGTTCAGATTTTTCTCAAAAGCCCATATCAACTCGGTTTCAATTGTAAACAATTTCTAAAAAATTAATGGATTTACTTTTAATTGGACATTCTAATTCCTTCAAACTTTATTTGTTTAAAGCACGTTGGATATTTTTTATCTTGTAAAAAAAAAAAAAAAAAAGTATTGCAAAACAGTTTTTTAAAATATTTCATAAACTTATCCCGGCCATGACAAATCAGAGTTACTTCCCTTTCTTTTGTACACATTAGTTCCAGTGATGTATATAAAATGCATGTTGACCTATACCTAATACGTACAGTTATCACTGCCATTACAAATCAGAGTTACTTGCCCTTTTTTTTATTTGGAGTCATTCTTATTGCAGATGTATTCAGAGCTTTGTCAGGCATTAGAAGAGGCTACAACAGCTGATTGTTCAGTAGCAGTGATCACAGGTAAATACTTTTTATATTTTATGAATTATATCTGTATATTTTTTTTTATCTAAAAGTATATAATATATAGTGTTAAAGGTAAAAATAAAATGGATAAAAGCATTTGGTTTGGCAGCAAGGCTGATCAAGAGATTGGAGCTTTTGAGGAGTATGGAATCACCTTTTAATTGCTATTGTTTACAGGTAAACCCTGACCCAAGTTAATTGCACCTATTAGGATCTCAGCTATGGCCAAATAGTGACTCCACCCCAAACAAAAACAAAATACTATAAAAGTATAAAAAAGGAACAACAATACTTATTTGTAGAAAAATGACCAACAATACATCAATCAACATGAAATAACACTTTCTTGACATTAATTTATATAACAACCTATAATTTCTTAAATCAAACTGTATTCCAAATCAAACCAAAATAGAACTTTGACAAAGCATAAAACACATACATATCTAGTGATATAGCAAATACTAAAAGCATCTATAGAAATTCATTGCAAATGATTTTACTATAGGAATTCATTAGAAATGATTTGAATACTAGCTCTTTATGGAACCTGGAATATTATGGTTAGGATTTATGAAACAAATCAATCCAAACTTACATTCCCTCTAATGATTCCATATCTAGTGATATAGCAAATACTAAAAGCATCTATAGAAATTCATTGCAAATGATTTTACTATAGGAATGCATTAGAAATGATTTGAATACTAGCTCTTTATGGAACCTGGAATATTATGGTTAGGATTTATGAAACAAATCCATCCAAACTTTCATTCCCTCTAATGATTCAATATCTAGTGATATAGTAAATACTAAAAGCATCTATAGAAATTCATTGCAAATGATTTTACTATAGGAATGCATTAGAAATGATTTGAATACTAGCTCTTTATGGAACCTGGAATATTATGGCTAGGATTTATGAAACAAATCCATCCAAACTTTCATTCCCTCTAATGATTCCATATCTAGTGATATAGCAAATACTAAAAGCATCTATAGAAATTCATTGCAAATGATTTTACTATAGGAATGCATTAGAAATGATTTGAATACTAGCTCTTTTTGAATATTATGGCTAGGATTTATGAAACAAATCCATCCAAACTTTCATTCTCTAATGATTTTATCTAGTGATAACAAATACTAAAAGCATCTATAGAAATTCATTGCAAATGATTTTTATAGGAATGCATTAGAAATGATTTGAATACTAGCTCTTTTATGGAACCTGAATATTATTTAGGATTTATGAAACAAATCCATCCAAACTTTCATTCCCTCTAATGATTCCATATCTAGTGATATAGCAAATACTAAAAGCATCTATAGAAATTCATTGCAAATGATTTTACTATAGGAATGCATTAGAAATGATTTGAATACTAGCTCTTTATGGAACCTGGAATATTATGGCTAGGATTTATGAAACAAATCCATCCAAACATTTCTAATGATTCCCTCTAATGATTCCTATAGAAATCTGCAAATGTGAATATTAGAAATGATTTGAATACTAGCTCTTTAAATACTATTCCCTCTAATCTAGTGATAAAAATCTATAGAAATTCATTGCAAATGATTTTACTATAGGAATGCATTAGAAATGATTTGAATACTAGCTCTTTATGGAACCTGGAATATTATGGCTAGGATTTATGAAACAAATCCATCCAAACTTTCATTCCTCTAATGATTCCATATCTAGTGATATAGCAAATACTAAAAGCATCTATAGAAATTCATTGCAAATGATTTTACTATAGGAATGCATTAGAAATGATTTGAATACTAGCTCTTTATGGAACCTGGAATATTATGGCTAGGATTTATGAAACAAATCCATCCAAACTTTCATTCCCTCTAATGATTCCATATCTAGTGATATAGCAAATACTAAAAGCATCTATAGAAATTCATTGCAAATGATTTTACTATAGGAATGCATTAGAAATGATTTGAATACTAGCTCTTTATGGAACCTGGAATATTATGGCTAGGATTTATGAAACAAATCCATCCAAACTTTCATTCCCTCTAATGATTCCATATCTAGTGATATAGCAAATACTAAAAGCATCTATAGAAATTCATTGCAAATGATTTTACTATAGGAATGCATTAGAAATGATTTGAATACTAGCTCTTTATGGAACCTGGAATATTATGGCTAGGATTTATGAAACAAATCCATCCAAACTTTCATTCCCTCTAATGATTCCATATCTAGTGATATAGCAAATACTAAAAGCATCTATAGAAATTCATTGCAAATGATTTTACTATAGGAATGCATTAGAAATGATTTGAATACTAGCTCTTTATGGAACCTGGAATATTATGGCTAGGATTTATGAAACAAATCCATCCAAACTTTCATTCCCTCTAATGATTCCATATCTAGTGATATAGCAAATACTAAAAGCATCTATAGAAATTCATTGCAAATGATTTTACTATAGGAATGCATTAGAAATGATTCTTTATGGAACCTGAATATTATGGCTAGGATTTATGAAACAAATCCATCCAAACTTTCATTTAATGATTCCATATCTAGTGATATAGCAAATACTAAAAGCATCTATAGAAATTCATTGCAAATGATTTTACTATATAGAATGCATTAGAAATGATTTGAATACTAGCTCTTTATGGAACCTGGAATATTTAGGATTTATGAAACAAATCCATCCAAACTTTCATTCCTCTTATGATTCCATATCTAGTGATATAGCAAATACTAAAAGCATCTATAGAAATTCATTGCAAATGATTTTACTATAGGAATGCATTAGAAATGATTTGAATAGCTCTTTATGGAACCTGGAATAATGGTTAGGATTTATTCCATCCAAACTTTCATTCCCTCTAATGATTCATATCTAGTGATATAGCAAATACTAAAAGCATCTATAGAAATTCATTGCAAATGATTTTACTATAGGAATGCATTAGAAATGATTTGAATACTAGCTCTTTATGGAACCTGGAATATTATGGCTAGGATTTATGAAACAAATCCATCCAAACTTTCATTCCCTCTAATGATTCCATATCTAGTGATATAGCAAATACTAAAAGCATCTATAGAAATTCATTGCAAATGATTTTACTATAGGAATGCATTAGAAATGATTTGAATACTAGCTCTTTATGGAACCTGGAATATTATGGCTAGGATTTATGAAACAAATCCATCCAAACTTTCATTCCTCTAATGATTCCATATCTAGTGATATAGCAAATACTAAAAGCATCTATAGAAATTCATTGCAAATGATTTTACTATAGGAATGCATTAGAAATGATTTGAATACTAGCTCTTTATGGAACCTGGAATATTATGGCTAGGATTTATGAAACAAATCCATCCAAACTTTCATTCCCTCTAATGATTCCATATCTAGTGATATAGCAAATACTAAAAGCATCTATAGAAAATTGCAAATGATTTTACTATAGGAATGCATTAGAAATGATTTGAATAGCTCTTTATGGAACCTGGGAATGCTAGGATTTATTAAACAAATCCATCCAAACTTTCATTTGATTCCATATCTAGTGATATAGCAAATACTAAAAGCATCTTTCATTGCAAATGATTTTACTAGCTCTTTTATGGAACCTGGAATATTATGGCTAGGATTTATGAAACAAATCCATCCAAACTTTCATTCCCTTAATGATTTCCATATCTAGTGATATAGCAAATACTAAAAGCATCTATAGAAATTCATTGCAAATGATTTTACTATAGGAATGCATTAGAAATGATTTGAATACTAGCTCTTTATGGAACCTGGAATATTATGGCTAGGATTTATGAAACAAATCCATCCAAACTTTCATTCCCTCTAATGATTTCCATATCTAGTGATATAGCAAATACTAAAAGCATCTATAGAAATTCATTGCAAATGATTTTTACTATAGGAATGCATTAGAAATGATTTGAATACTAGCTCTTTATGGAACCTGGAATATTATGGCTAGGATTTATGAAACAAATCCATCCAAACTTTCATTAGCAAATACTAAAATGATTATAGAAATTCTGCAAATGTGATATTAGAAATGAAATACTAGCTCTTTATGGAACCTGGAATATTATGGCTAGGATTTATGAAACAAAAAAACTTTCATTCCCATCTATAGAAATTCATTGCAAATGATTTTACTATAGGAATGCATTAGAAATGATTTTTTATGGAATTGGCTAAATGAAACAAATCCATCCAAACTTTCATTTTTGATTTCATATAGTGGCAAAATAAAAGCATCTATAGAAATTCATTGCAAATGAAATAGGAATTTGAAAATTTGAATACTAGCTCTTTATGGAACCTGGAATATTATGGCTAGGATTTATGAAACAAATCCATCCAAACTTTCATTCCCTCTAATGATTCCATATCTAGTGATATAGCAAATACTAAAAGCATCTATAGAAATTCATTGCAAATGATTTTACTATAGGAATGCATTAGAAATGATTTGAATACTAGCTCTTTATGGAACCTGGAATATTATGGCTAGGATTTATGAAACAAATCCATCCAAACTTTCATTCCTCTAATGATTCCATATCTAGTGATAAAGCAAATACTAAAAGCATCTATAGAAATTCATTGCAAATGATTTTTACTATAGGAATGCATTAGAAATGATTTGAATACTAGCTCTTTATGGAACCTGGAATATTATGGCTAGGATTTATGAAACAAATCCATCCAAACTTTCATTCCCTCTAATGATTTCATATCTAGTGATAAAGCAAATACTAAAAGCATCTATAGAAATTCATTGCAAATGATTTTACTATAGGAATGCATTAGAAATGATTTGAATACTAGCTCTTTATGGAACCTGGAATATTATGGCTAGGATTTATGAAACAAATCCATCCAAACTTTCATTCCTCTAATGATTCCATATCTAGTGATATAGCAAATACTAAAAGCATCTATAGAAATTCATTGCAAATGATTTTACTATAGGAATGCATTAGAAATGATTTGAATACTAGCTCTTTATGGAACCTGGAATATTATGGCTAGGATTTATGAAACAAATCCATCCAAACTTTCATTTCTAATGATTCCATATCTAGTGATTCCAAATACTAAAAGCATCTATAGAAATTCATTGCAAATGATTTTACTAAAGCATGCATTAGAAATGATTTGAATTCATTTTATGGAATGAATTTAGGATTTATGAAACAAATCCATCCAAACTTTGATTTGAATGATTCCATATCTTTATGGAAATACTAAAAGAATATTATGAAATAGGATTGCAAAACAAATCCATCCAAATGATTTGAATTCCTCTAATGGATTCCATATCTAGGATTGATGAAACAAATCCATCCAAAAGCATCTATAGAAATTCATTGCAAATGATTTTACTATAGGAATGCATTAGAAATGATTTGAATACTAGCTCTTTATGGAACCTGGAATATTATGGCTAGGATTTATGAAACAAATCCATCCAAACTTTCATTCCCTCTAATGATTCCATATCTAGTGATATAGCAAATACTAAAAGCATCTATAGAAATTCATTGCAAATGATTTTACAGAATGCATTAGAAATGATTTGAATACTAGCTCTTTATGGAACCTGGAATATAGGATTTATGAAACAAATCCATCCAAACTTTGCATCTAATGAATATCTAGTGATAGCAAATTAAAAGCATCTATAGAAATTCATTGCAAAGATTTTACTATAGGAATGCATTAGAAATGATTTGAACTCTTTATGGAACCTGGAATATTATCCTCTAGGATTTATGAAACAAATCCATCCAAATTTTCATTAGGAATCTAATGATTCTCATATCTAGTGATATAGCAAATACTAAAAGCATCTATAGAAATTCATTGAAAATGCAAATTTTACTATAGGAATGCATTAGAAATGATTTGAATACTAGCTCTTTATGGAACCTGGAATATTATGGCTAGGATTTATGAAACAAATCCATCCAAACTTTCATTCCCTCTAATGATTCCATATCTAGTGATATAGCAAATACTAAAAGCATCTATAGAAATTCATTGCAAATGATTTTACTATAGGAATGCATTAGAAATGATTTGAATAAATGGAATTTGAAATACTAGGATTTATGGAACCTGGAATGATTCCATATCTAGTGATTTAAAAGCATCTATGAAATTGCAAAAATCCATTCAAATGATTTGAATCATTCTTTATGGAATGATTATTATATCTAGTGAAACAAATCCATCCAAACTTTCATTCCCTCTAATGAATATCTAGTGATAAAAAATACTAAAGCATCTATAGAAATTCATTGCAAATGATTTTACTATAGGAATGCATTAGAAATGATTTGAATACTAGCTCTTTATGGAACCTGGAATATTATGGCTAGGATTTATGAAACAAATCCATCCAAACTTTCATTCCCTCTAATGATTCCATATCTAGTGATATAGCAAATACTAAAAGCATCTATAGAAATTCATTGCAAATGATTTTACTATAGGAATGCATTAGAAATGATTTGAATACTAGCTCTTTATGGAACCTGGAATATTATGGCTAGGATTTATGAAACAAATCCATCCAAACTTTCATTCCTCTAATGATTCCATATCTAGTGATATAGCAAATACTAAAAGCATCTATAGAAATTCATTGCAAATGATTTTACTATAGGAATGCATTAGAAATGATTTGAATACTAGCTCTTTATGGAACCTGGAATATTATGGCTAGGATTTATGAAACAAATCCATCCAAACTTTCATTCCCTCTAATGATTCCATATCTAGTGATATAGCAAATACTAAAAGCATCTATAGAAATTCATTGCAAATGATTTTACTATAGGAATGCATTAGAAATGATTTGAATACTAGCTCTTTATGGAACCTGGAATATTATGGCTAGGATTTATGAAACAAATCCATCCAAACTTTCATTCCTCTAATGATTCCATATCTAGTGATATAGCAAATACTAAAAGCATCTATAGAAATTCATTGCAAATGATTTTACTATAGGAATTCATTAGAAATGATTTGAATGCTAGCTCTTTATGGAACCTGGAATATTATGGTTAGGATTTATGTCTGTTCCATTCACTTTTGCATTAATATCCTGAAACAAATGGCTATTTCCTTCTAATGATTCAAATACTAAAAGCATCTATAGAAATTCATTGCAAATGATTTTACTATAGGAAATTAGAAATCATGAATCCTCTTAATGATTCCATATCTAGTATTTATGAAACAAATCCATCCAAACTTTTTATTCCTCTAATGATTTCCATATCTAGTGATATAGCAAAAATTCATTGCAAATGATTTTACTATAGGAATGCATTAGAAATGATTTGAATACTAGCTCTTTATGGAACCTGGAATATTATAGGATTTATGAAACAAATCCATCCAAACTTTTATTCCTTCTAATGATTCCATTTAGTGAAACAAATACTAAAAATCCATCAAAATTTTCATTCCCTCTAATGATTCCAGCTTTTTATCTGAAGTGATATAGCAAATACTAAAATTAAAATCTATAGAAATTCATTGCAAATGATTTTACTATAGGAATGCATTAGAAATGATTTGAATACTAGCTCTTTATGGAACCTGGAATATTATGGCTAGGATTTATGAAACAAATCCATCCAAACTTTCATTCCCTCTAATGATTCCATATCTAGTGATATAGCAAATACTAAAAGCATCTATAGAAATTCATTGCAAATGATTTTTACTATAGGAATGCATTAGAAATGATTTGAATACTAGCTCTTTATGGAACCTGGAACTTTTATGGCTAGGATTTATGAAACAAATCCATCCAAACTTTCATTCCTTATAATGATTCCATATCAAGTATTTTGATTAAATAAAAAAAGAAATCTATAGAAATTCATTGCAAAACTAAATTTTACTATATTCATTGCAAATGCATTTAGAAATGATTTGAATACTAGCTCTTTATGCAACCTTGAATTTTATGGCTAGGATTTATGAAACAAATCCTAACCATAATATTCCAAGTTCCATAAAGAGCTAGTATTCAAATCATTTTAATGCATTCCTACAGTAAAAACTTGAAAAAAATTTCTATAGATGCTTTTTTGTATTACCAATCACTAGATATGGAATTATTAGAGAGAATGGATGGATTTGTTTCATAAATCTTAGCCATAATATTCTAGGCTATATAAAATGTTAACTGCCTTATCCAACTTTATTTTTCTGAGGTGCCGGTGATTATTTCTGTAGTGGAAACGACCTCAGCAATTTCACCAATATTGCTCCAGATGAAATCAGTACTATGGCACAGAAATCAAGCGTTGTCTTAAAGTAAGTACAATGTCTTTTAAACCTTTTCAAAGAATACAGATAATTATATTTACTTTTTTTGGCCAAAATGCACTAAGACATGCATTATTAAAGAGTAATATTTCTTTCCTCTGTTTCTTACTTTTTATTTACTTATTTTTTTAAGGTTCTGAAAAATTATTTCTGCTATTCCATTTGATTTTAAACTCATGTCTTCCTATTTTTTCATAGGATTTTTTTTCATATTTTTATTCTCAAGACAAACTCATTTGAGTTGAGATTGACCTGCACAGACTTTAGTCTTACTCAAATGTAATATTGTCACAATCTGTTATATTGAAATTGGATGTAAGTGCATGGCTCTACCACCAACTTGTGGCTGTAGGCATGTAGTTCTACCACTGACTTGTAGCTTTAAGCTCATATTTTGGTTCCACCAGCAAATTTTTCATACAAATGATGATTATCGTAATAGCATGAAAGAGGTATTTCGTAATCATTCTTATTCATTCATTGACAAAGTCAGTTGCATTGTCATGTTTGGGACCAATATACTGAAGTTGATCTGTCTCATGTTGAAAATTGAATTAGATACCTTTTCACCAGATGGTAGGTTCCTTTTCATGGTTTTATACAGCACTATGCATATAGTTTGAATTGGTAGCTTTTATTGTCCTGAGTAGGAGAAGTCATTGGGAAAAAGTTTTCAGGCCTGTGTGTGCACCATTAAAGGCAAAAACTGTCACTGAAAAATTTGCGGGAGAAACTCATTTTATAAGGTAACCCCTCACTTTCCCTGTATTTCATAATTATGTTCATGGTCTAATGAAAAGGCTACTAAGCCTGTGCTTTTTGTTTTGTTAAATGAAACCATTTACTTATTTTTTTTAATCTCTTTTGCTAGGACGATCAAAGCCAATACCTAAATTAACACCAACACCTTATTGTCTAATGACTTGAGGTATTAAGAGACTTAGTAATCCTGAGTAAAAGAGTAAATATTAAATAGAGAAAAATATGAGAGAGTAGTTAATCAGGTTGGAACCAAATGGAAAAGAAAGTTAGGTTTAAAAATATTGATTTGAACCTACAAAAAGGAAGGTATTAGGAAGATTTGAACTTAAAATAAACCAATGTTCAGTAAAATTCAGTATGACTGAAAATCCCTGCCTAATACGACAATCATGAAAAAGTTGTAATGATGTGATTAATGTGTTTGCCAAAAATCGGCAAAATCCAGACAAAATTAGTATTTTAGTATTCTGTCTAGAAAAATTATATTCTGTGCTAATAGGAATATATACTTGAAAAACAAGGTAGATAAAATAAGTAAAGGTTTATTGTAAAAAAACAGTACAATAAGAATAAAGGTAATAGTTATACACAAGGTGGTCACAAGTCAATCCAGTAGTGAGTGGTACTATTTGAAGGTTGGTAGTTCTCGTGTAAATATGAGTCGTACTCGACAGATCCCAGCTAGTCTCTGTAGTCCATTGACTTACAGATAATTATAGGTAGTTACTCATAAAGGTGACAGGTTATTCCACTACATCAAAACCTTACCAAAATGTCTAGCTCTGAGTAGATTAGAGGCACAGGTCTTGTGCCATTGTAACCAAAATTTTCTGTATCTGTCTATATTTCTGAGATGAGGTATTATGTACACTATTTACATTATTCGAACTATTGTCCTCATCTTTGTTGCCATATTTTTTACAACGTTTAGGCCGTTGTATGCTCTGGCCTTCTTCAGGTGGTTGGAATGTCGAACTGAACCCTTTAAAAAAGAGTATGGGTTCTATACCTGGTTAAGGCAGTGGAGAACTTTCAGAGGGAAATTAACAGGAGATAACTGATAACTGACATCCATTAAACATGGCACGTGGAACTAGAACAGTCTACCCCACAGAGCAAAATAAAGGGTTACCCAACTTTTCTGTTGATTTTGAATCAAACACATTCCTGATAAAGACAAAGATAATGATTTAACCCACTAATAACCATTGTCCCTATAATGTGATAATAGGCAATAATAGGTTAAAGGGAGGAACTTATAAATCTGGATTTTTGTAAGACTAGAATTTTTTGCAGCTTGCTGGGGCATGTTGAAATTCTTATGGTATTCAGTCATGTTGAAGTTATTGCTAACATTTTTTGTCAAGATTTTTTTTGTCAAGATTTTATTTTTATTTTTTTTTTTGTCAAGATTTTATTTTATTTTGTCAAGATTTTATTTTATTTTTTTTTTTTTTGTCAAGATTTTATTTTTTTAAAAACTGCAGTTGAAACAAAAGTTTGCAGCATGGCATTTGAACATGTGATTGAAATTTATGAAGTGTATACATATGCTGAGAGGTGACATGTCAGTGCATCTTTTTATATGATTCAGTTTTTATAAATATGATTTGGATATATAGAAAAAAAAAAGAGGTCAGTTTAAACTGATGCCAGGAGGATATAGCTTGAAAAAAAAAGAATGTCAGCCAAAAGTTGTTGTGATAAAAAGCAAGAAAAGGCGCAGAAAAGAATAAAATCTAAAAAAAAAAAAAAAATCTGTGGAAGTAAGAAAATATTTCTTGTGAGACTCTCAGACAAATTATAATTACTGCAAAAGGTCAAAAGGTTATCATCATTATTTTGTGCATAAAAGACAAAGAACTGAACCAAAAAATGAGAGAGGAAAAAAAACAAAAAAAAAAAAACAAACATTGCTTGACTCTTGTGGTTTTAGTGACGGAACTGATAAAAAGTGAATGTAGCAAAGTTCTTATGGTTCTTCTTCAGGTTTGGTTTACATATAAAAAAAGGAATGGGCAGATGCTGAAGTGACACTGGATCTGAACAAGGTTTTCTTCATAAACAGTAGACAGGAAAAGAAATTTATGAAAATTTCTCAGACATTCAGGCTGGTAAATGTCGTTAATACTGTTTATTATAAACAGAGCATTTACTTAAATATTTGTATCTATAAAAAGAATGTATAAACATAAAATGTCTGTATAAATATATATATATATATATATTTATATATATATATATATTTTTTTTTATCACTTTAAATGTTATTTTTAGTGGATACTCACATTTGAGTAGGTGCTCCATTTATTTATTAAGCAATATATTTACTTTTATCTACTAGCCTGAATGTTTGAGAAATCTTATTAAAGAAAAATTTGCACTTTCCAGTAGAATTTGAATCCATGATTGTCTGGGTAGAGAGAACTACTGTTAATCCGTAACCAACTAAGCCATGATCGGCTGTGGTTGCATCTGGACATATGGTGTTTCAGGTGGAACGTTGGATAAACTATACGAGATCTGCTTTTGTTGCTATAATCAAATGACACTGGGATCCCCTTTGGAGTTTGCAGCTTATTTTAGTTGTAACTTAAATTTCTAAGTTCTGGACTTTATGGGTGGCACATGGTCTTGGTCAGGATGTCTCAGCAAATGATGTGGATTCCAGTAGCAGTAGTGTGGGAACTCTCTCTTTATCTCTGTGTGTGTATGTGTTTCAGCTGTCCAAAGTCACAGGGGTGAGGTTGACGAGGGTTAGGGTTTGGTTGTCTTCTACCTTAAGTATCAACCTTTTCTAAATTCTCATATATAAAAGTACATTTACTCAAGTAGTATTCCAAATTTGGGGTTGTCCAGCCCCCTTTTGAGAGTAGTCAGAGGAATCAAGCCACCCCTTAACTCCAACTCCCTTCACACCTCACTTCATACCATAGCTCCATATAGGTGGTGCTAATCTCTCTCTTCCTCCTCTTACTTTCTCAGCACCTAAGTGCAGCCTGCTCCTAGAGCTGATGTGATGAGTCCAACTTCCAGATGGTGCAGCAAAAACAAAGGGGATTTTCAGTCATTAATCCTTTTTTTTCTCTTGATCATCCAGACCATTAAAGAATTAGAAAAGGAAAAAAAATTATTTCCACTCCACTCTTCTTAAAATGAAAGTTTATCTTTTCTCTGTCTATGAATTTTTGTTTTTTTACAATTAACAGACCACACTGTCTTTTTGTTCATAGTTACTTTAAAATAGTAATTTTTTTTTTTCCTTATCACTTGTATCCAAAGGAATTCAAATTAATGTTTGGATATGAAATTTTCTCTGGGTGAATGTCACAGAAATTATAATGATGAACGAGTCCAGTCAGTCTCTATCCTCTGGGGATACTTCACTTCTGGGTGGCTGATGCAAAATAGATGTTTTTTTCCTGGCCCCACTTTTTTGTGCAGAAGAATCATGAATCTTATTCATTTTGGTGACCACACTGGTCTCTTTATTGACCATATATGTCTTTATATTATGATTTTCATGGATATCTTAATGGTTTCTTTCTTATTAAGGGGCAAGGACAGATAGTCTTTGTTTTGCTCAGTCTTAATACATTCCATTTAGTTAAATTAGCTTTCAGTTCTCCTTGGAATTATTTCAAAACATGATTTTTCAATGCATTTAGTTTTTAATTTTCTCCTCAACCTTCCAATTCCCCTTTCTGCAATTTCAACAATTATCATCCAGTTAGTAGACTCTCTTCCTTTTTCTTTTTCTTTTTGATCAACCCCTAGAGAGATTATCATCCAGTTAGTATCTTCTCTCTCCTCCTCTTTTCTTTCTTTCTTTCTCTTTTTCTTTTGATCAACCTCTAGAGATATTATCATCCAGTTAGTAGCTTCTCTCTCCTCCTCTTTTCTTTCTTTCTTTCTCTTTTTGATCAACCTCTGGAGATATTATCATCCAGTTAGTAGCTTCTCTCTCCTCCTCTTTTCTTTCTTTCTTTCTCTTTTTGATCAACCCCTAGAGATATTATCATCCAGTTAGTAGCTTCTCTCCTCCTCTTTTCTTTCTTTCTTTTATCATCTTCTCTCTCCTCCTCTTTTTTCTTTCTTTCTCTTTTTCTTTTTGATCAACCTCTGGTATTATCATCCAGTTAGTAGCTTCTCTCTCCTCCTTTTTTTCTTTCTTTCTTTTTCTTTTTTTTTTGATCCACCTTCTCTCTCCTCCCTTTTCTTTTATGAAGTTTGTCAACCTCTATTCTCCTCCAGGTTCTTTTCAAGATTTTTTTCTTTTTTGATCAACCCCTGGAGATATTATCATCCAGTTAGTAGCTTCTCTCTCCTCCTCTTTTCTTTCTTTCTCTTTTTCTTTTTGATCAACCTCTGGAGATATTATCATCCAGTTAGTAGCTTCTCTCTCCTCCTCTTTTCTTTCTTTCTTTCTCTTTTTCTTTTTGATCAACCTCTGGAGATATTATCATCCAGTTAGTAGCTTCTTTCTCTCTCTTTTCTTTCTTTTTTCTTTCTTTCTTTATTTTTTTCTTTTTCTTTTTTGATCAACCTCTGGAGATATTATCATCCAGTTAGTAGCTTCTCTCTCCTTTTCTTTTTTTCTTTCAAGAATTTTTCTTTTTTTGATCAACTTTCTGAGAAGATTATCATCCAGTTAGTAGCTTCTCTCTCCTCCTTTTTTTTTCTTTCTTTTATTTTTTTTTTTTCTGGAGATTTTCATCCAGTTAGTAGCTTCTCTTTTTCTTTTCTTTCTTTCTCTTTTATTCAACCTCTGGAATATTTCATCCAGTTAGTAGCTTCTCTCTCCTCCTCTTTTCTTTCTTTCTTTTTTTAAATTATCATCCAGTTTAGCTTCTCTCTCCTCCTCTTTTCTTTCTTTCTTTTTTTTTTCTTTTTGATCAACCTCTGGAGATATTATCATCAGTTAGTAGCTTCTCTCTCCTCCTCTTTTCTTTCTTTCTTTTTTCTTTTTCTTTTTTTGATCCCCTATTATCATCCAGTTTAGTAGCTTTCTCTCTCCTCTTTTTTTTTTCTTTTCTTTCTTTTTTTTTTTTTTGATCAACCTCTGGATTATTATCATCAGTTTTTAGCTTCTCTCTCCTCCTCTTTTCTTTCTTTCTTTCTTTTTTCTTTTTTTTCAACCTCTAGAGATTATCATCAGTTTAGCTTCTCTCTCCTCCTTTTTTCTTTCTTTCTTTCTATTTTTCTTTTGATCAACCTCTTTTATTATCATCCAGTTAGACTTCTCTCTCCTCTTTTTTCTTTTTTCTTTTCTTTTCTGGATTATCATCCAGTTAGTAGCTTCTCTCTCCTCCTCTTTTCTTTCTTTCTTTCTCTTTTTCTTTTTGATCAACCCCTGGAGAGATTATCATCCAGTTAGTAGCTTCTCTCTCCTCCTCTTTTCTTTCTTTCTTTCTCTTTTTCTTTTTGATCAACCTCTGGAGATATTATCATCCAGTTAGTAGCTTCTCTCTCCTCCTCTTTTCTTTCTTTTTTCTTTTTTTTTTGATCAACCCCAGAGAGATTATCATCCAGTTAGTAGCTTTCTCTCCTTTTCTTTTCTTTTTTTCTTTCTATTTTCTTTTTGATCAAACCTCTGGAGATATTTCATCCAGTTTAGCTTCTCTTTTCTTTCTTTTTTTCTTTCTCTTTCTCTTTTTTGATCAACCCCTGAGAGATTATCATCCAGTTTTAGCTTTCTCTCCTCCTTTTTTTCTTTCTTTTCTTTCTATTTTTCTTTTGATCAACCTCTGGAGATATTATCATCCAGTTAGTCTTTTCTCTCTCCTCCTCTTTGTTTTCTTTCTTTCTCTTTTTCTTTTTCCAGTTAGTAGCTTCTCTCCTCCTCTTTTTTTTCTTTTTTTCTATTTTTTTTTGATCAACCTCTGGAATATTATCATCCAGTTAGTAGCTTTCTCTCCTCCTCTTTTTTTCTTTTCTTTCTCTTTTAACAAAATTATCATTTTTAGCTTCTCTCTCCTTTTCTTTCTTTCTTTTATTTTTCTTTTTTTTCAACCTCTTTATTATCCTCTTTTTCTCTCTCCTATCTTTTCTTTCTTTCTTTCTTTTTTCTTTTTTTCAACCCCTCATTATCATCAGTTAGTAGCTTCTCTCCTTCTCTTTTTTCTTTCTTTCTCTTTTTTTTTTTTCTTTTTTTCCAGAGTAACTTCTTCTTCCTCTTTTCTTTCTTTCTTTTTTTTCTTTTGATAGCTTTCTCTCCTCCTCTTCTTTTCTTTCTTTCTCTTTTTCTCTTTTGATTTCCTAAATTATCATCCAGTTAGTAGCTTCTCTCTCCTCCTCTTTTCTTTCTTTCTATTTTTTTTTTGATCAACCTCTGGAGATTATCATCCAGTTAGTAGCTTTCTCTCCTCCTCCTTTCTTTTTTTTTCTTTTCTTTATCATCCAGTTAGTAGCTTTCTCTCCTCCTTTTTCTTTCTTTTTTTCTTTTGATCCTCTGGGGATATTATCATCCAGTTAGTTTTCTCTCTCCTCCTCTTTTCTTTCTTTCTTTTTTTTTCTTTTTCTTTCTTTCTCTTTTTTTTTTCTTTTTGATCAACCTCTGGAGATATTATCATCCAGTTTACTCTTTTTTCTTTCTTTCTTTTCTTTTTCTTTTGATCAACCCCTAAATTATCTTTTTTTTAGCTTTCTCTCCTCCTCTTTTCTTTCTTTCTTTCTCTTTTTCTTTTTGATCAACCTCTGGAGATATTATCATCCAGTTAGTAGCTTCTCTCTCCTCCTCTTTTTTTCTTTCTTTCTTTCTCTTTTTTCTTTTTGATCAACCCTAGAAATTATCATCCAGTTAGTAGCTTTCTCTCCTCCTCTTTTCTTTCTTTCTTTCTATTTTCTTTTTGATCAACCTCTTCCTTATTATCATCCAGTTTCTTTCTCTCTCTCCTTTTTTTCTTTCTTTTCTTTAAACTCTTTTTCTTTTTCTTTTTTCTCAACCCCAGAGAGATTATCATCCAGTTAGTAGCTTCTCTCCTCCTTTTTTTTCTTTCTTTCTTTTTCTTTTTTCAACCTCTGGAGATATTATCATCAGTTTTCTTCTCTCTCCTCCTCTTTTCTTTCTTTTCTTTTGATCAACCTCTGGAGATATTATCATCCAGTTAGTAGCTTCTCTCTCCTCCTCTTTTCTTTCTTTCATTCTTTCTTTCTTTCTCTTTTTCTTTTTGATCAACCTCTGGAGATATTATCATCCAGTTAGTTTTTTTCTCTCCTCCTCTTTTCTTTATTTCTTTCTCTTTTTCTTTTTGATCAACCTCTGGAGATATTATCATCCAGTTAGTAGCTTCTCTCTCCTCCTCTTTTTTTTCTTTCTCTTTTTCTTTTTTGATCAACCCCTAGGAGATTTCATTTTTAGTTCTCTTCTCTCTTCTCTTTTCTTTCTTTCTTTCTTTTTCTTTTTGATCAACCTCTGGAGATATTATCATCCAGTTAGTAGCTTCTCTCTCCTCTTTTTGCTTCTTTTTTCTCTTTTCTTTTTTTCGAGAGATTATCATCCAGTTAGTAGCTTCTCTCTCCTCCTTTTTCTTTTCTTTCTTTTCTTTTTCTTTTGGAATATTATCTTTCAGTTCAAATTCTCTCTCCTCCTTTTTTCTTTTTTTCTTTCTTTTTTTCTTTTTTGATCAACCCCTGGAGATATCATCATCCAGTTAGTAGCTTCTCTCTCCTCCTCTTTTCTTTCTTTTTTTTTTTTTTCTTTTTGATTTTTTTTCATCCAGTTAGTAGCTTATTTTTTCCTTTTTCTTTCTCTTTTTTTTTTGATCAACCCCTGGAATATTATCATCCAGTTATTTTCTCTCCTCCTTTTTCTTTCTTTTCTTTTTGATTTTCTTTTTTCTACCTTTCCTTTTTCTTTCTCTTTTTTTTTTCAACCCCTTATTATCATTCAGTTAGTAGCTTCTCTCTCCTCCTCTTTTCTTCTTTCTTTCTCTTTTCTTTTTGATCAACCCCTGGAGATATTATCTTTTCTTTCTTTTTCTCTCTCCTCCTCTTTTCTTTCTTTCTTTTTTTTTGATCAACCTCTGGAGATTTATCATCCAGTTTTTAGCTTCTCTCCTCCTTTTTTCTTTCTTTCTTTCTCTTTTTGATCAACCTCTAGAGATATTATCATCCAGTTCCTTTTTCTCTCTCCTCCTCTTTTCTTTCTTTCTTTCTCTTTTTGATCAACCCCTAGAGATATTATCATCCAGTTAGTAGCTTCTCTCTCCTCCTCTTTTCTTTCTTTCTTTCTCTTTTTCTTTTGATCAACCTTTGGATATATTATCATCAGTTAGTTTTTCTCTCTCTCTTTCTTTTCTTTTTCTTTTTTTCTTTTTTCTTTTTTTTATTATCATCCAGTTCTTATTTTCTCTCTCCTCTTTTTTTTTTTCTTTTTCTTTCTTTTTGATGTTTCTTTTTTATTTCATTTTTTTAGTTCTTTCTCTCTTTCTTTCTTTTTCTTTCTTTTGGAAATTTTTTTTCTTTTTTTTTTTCTTTTATTTCATTCAGTTAGTATTCTCTCTCCTCCTTTTTTCTTTTTTTCTTTCTCTTTTTCTTTTTTCTTGGAGATATTTTTCATCCAGTTAGTTTCTTTCTCCTTTTCTTTTCTTTCTTTTTTTTTCTTTTGATCTTTTTAGAGATTTTATCATCCAGTTTTTAGCTTCTCTCTCCTTTTTTTCTTTCTTTCTTTCTTTTTTTCTTTTGATCAACCTCTGGAGATATTATTTTCCTCTTTTTAGGTTCTCTCTCCTTTTTTTTTTTCTTTTCTTTCTTTCAACCTCTCTTTTTTCATCCAGTTTTCTTTCTTCTCTCTTTCCTCTTTTCTTTTTCTTTTCTTTTCTTTCTCTTTTTTCTTTTGATTCACCTCTGGAGATATTTCATCCTTTTAGTTTCATCTTTTTCTTCCTCTTTTCATTTCTTTCTCTTTTTCTTTTTTTTTTTTGTTCAGGAGATTTATCATCCAGTTAGTTTTTTTCTCTCTCCTACTCTTTTTTTTCTTTCTTTTCTTTTCTTTTTTGATCAACCTCTGGAGATATTATCATCAGTTAGTAGCTTCTCTCTCCTTTTCTTTTTCCTTTCTTTCTCTTTTTCTTTTTGATCAAAGGAAAATCATCCAGTTAGTAGCTTCTCTTCCTCCTCTTTCTTTCTTTCTTTCTTTTAAATTTTTTGATTTTTATGGAATAATCATCAGTTGCTTCTCTCTTCCTCTTTTCTTTCTTTCTTTTCTTTTTTTTTGATTTTTTGGAATATCATTCATCCATTTAGTAGCTTCTCTCCTCCTCCTTTTCTTTCTTTTTTTTCTTTTTTTTTGATTTGATCAAGTTATTATCATCCAGTTAGTAGCTTCTCTCTCCTCCTCTTTCTTTCTCTTTTTTTTGAAAAATTAAGATATTTTCATCCAGTTAGTCTTTCTCTCTCCTTTCTTTTCTTTTCTTTTTCTTTTGATCATTTTCTTGGAGATAAATTCAGTTAGTCTTTTCTCTGTTTCCTCTTTTTTTTCTTTTTCTTTCTTTTTCTTTTGATCTTGATTTATTCTCATCCAGTTATCTTTCTCTTCCTCCTCTTTTCTTTCTTTCTTTCTCTTTTATTGGAGATATTATCATCCAGTTAGTCTTTTCTCTTCTTTTTTTCTTTCTTTCTTTCTCTTTTTTGATCAAAAGAGATATTATCATCCAGTTAGTAGCTTCTCTTCCTCCTTTTCTTTCCTTTCTCTTCCCCTTTTGATCAACCTCTGGAGAATTAATCCAGTTAGTAGCTTCTCTCTCTCCTCTCTTCTTTTTTTTCTTTTTTTTTGATCAACCCCAGAGATTATCATCCAGTTAGTCTTCTCTCTCCTCCTCTTTCTTTATTTCTTTTTTTTTGATCAATATAATATTTATCATCCAGTTATTTTGAAAATATCTTTTCTTTTTTTTTCTCTTTCTTTTTGATCAATTCCTAGAGGACAGATTAGTCTTTCTCTTCCTCTTTTCTTTCTTTCTTTCATTCCATTTCTGGAATATTAATTTTATTTTCTCTCTCCTCCTCTTTTCTTTCTTTCTTTCTCTTTTTCAAAACAAATGATTTTCCAGTTAGTATTATTTCCTCCTCTTTTCTTTCTTTCTTTTCCTTTCTTTTATTCAACCTCTGGAGATATTATCATCCAGTTAGTAGCTTCTCTCTCCTCCTCTTTTCTTTTTTTTCTTTCTTTTTCTTTTTTGATCAACTCCTGGAGAGATTATCAAGTTTAGCTTCATCCATTCCTCTTTTCTTTTCTCTTTCTCCTAAATTTTTCTTTCTTTCTTTTTTTCTTTTCTTTTTTTCAACCCCTAGAGAGATTATCATCCAGTTAGTATCTTTCTCCTCTTTTCTTTCTTTCTTTCTTTCTTTCTTTTAAAGAAATTTCTTTATTTTTTTTTTCTCTCTTTCTTTTGATAACCTCTAGAGATATTATCATCCAGTCAGTAGCTTCTCTCTCCTCCTTTTTTCTTTCTTTTCTTTCTCTTTTTGTTTGATCAGCCTCTGGAGATCTCGGTGTCACGCAGATAACAGATGCTACTTGAGAATATTACTATTTTTTCACTTGCTATAATAAAAATAGTTTTAATAACAAAACTATTTGAAGATAAAAGGATTTTCAGTCATTAGTCCTTGTCTATCAGCTTGCCCCATGCTGGGGTCATTTACATGGCTAAACTACTCAAGAATTGGAGAAAGAAAGATCTATTTCCACTCTCCTTAAAACAAAAGTTTATCTTATCCCTGTCTTTATGCATTTATTTTACAATTGACTAGAACACACAGACTTTCTGCTCATGGCCATTTCAAAATAGTAATTAATTTTTCCTTACCACTTGTATCCAAGGGGATCTGAATTAATGTTTGGATAATATTTTCTCTGGACGAGAAAGCTGATAATGTCAGAATGTCATGGAAATTATCTTTTTCTTCTGGTTGGTTGAGTCGAATCACATGTTTTATCTGACATCTTCGTGGTCTCTTTCTTATTGGTGGGAGGTGTGGCAGGATAGGCACACTTGGATTGTTTAATCTTCCTGAATTTTGTCTAGTTAAATCTGGGTTCGATTTTCCTTGGAATTATCTCAAAACATGATTTTTCAATGTATTTTGTTTTTAATTTTCTCCTCAACTTTCCAATCCACCTTCCTGCAAATTTCAACAGTTACCATCCAGTTAGTAGACTTTCTCCTATTCCTTCTTTTCTTTCTTGTTCTATGCCAAAATGTTTTTCTTGTAGTTTCTTGCTTTTCAGTCAACTTTGATCTTCAAAAATTTAAATGCAATGTCAATCATTATTTTGTGTCTTCCTAATTTCTGACTTTTCAATGTTCTCACTCCTTAATGATGTTTTCCTTATATTCTTTCACACTTAGTAACCCCCTGTGCCTTAGTGGCTTTATTGCCTTGTTTGGGTTGAAAAGATTTTAAAAAAATACAATAAAATCAACATTTTGAATTGATCCTCATCAATGACTGCAGGGCTTCTGCAATGTTCTCGGTCTTCCAGATCATAATTTCCATTTCTGAATCTAGTCAACCATTTACAAATAGTGCTTTCAGTTATGACACCATCTTGATAAAAAGCACCTACCTTTTTTACTGTTTGTACAGCTTTTTTTTTTTCATTCAGTTGCTTTCTCACTGCCATTGGCTTTCTTCCATCTTTTCTATAAATCTTTCCTCCTTGGTGCCTTGATTAGGTGTCACTGTTTTATTAGCTAGATGCAACCATATTTTCTATTCTAATAGTTTCTTTTCTTGCACTTCTCACCTGTAGAACTCTCTTCTGATTTCTTACTTCCCTGCCATCTACAGTCTTTAAAAATTTAAATGCAATGCCAATCACCATCTTCTGTCTTCCTGAACCTTGTTCTTTTATTGTCCTTTCTCCTCACTAAAGTCTTCTCATTCACTCTCAGTAACCCCTTGTGTCTTAGTGGCATTTTTACCTTGCTTGGATGGAAATGATTAAAAAAAAAACTAAAAAATGATGAAAATGCACTGGTGCTATCCTGTAGAATTTGTGTACTTGGTAAAATGTTACACACACACACATTATGAAGACGCAGATGAAAAAGCCAAATTTTTTAAATCATTGAATCTGCACTTTCTTTCACATAACTGAATTTTATGATATGCATATTCTGAAAGGGTAAAATTCTTGGTAAAATAGAAGGACACTATGTTCTATAGCCCTGGATGGCAACCAGTCTAGGAGAAGGAAACTTTGAATTAAATCCACCTGCTGCCTTGTTTGTTCTTGCCTCTAGGAAAAGGCTAGAAGGAAGGTAATTTCAAAAACAAATCCACCTGTGAGAGAAGTAACAGGGTAACCTCAACATCCCTGGAACCGGCAAGCAATTGGTCTATTCTGCCTTGACTGTCCATGAACTCCAGGTGTGAAATGCAGGTGAGTCATGACCACAGCAAGACAAATTGCACTAACCAAATAAAATTACTGAATGATTCTGAAAGGGGACATTTCAACACGGCTTTTCACATTATTCTAATATGGATTGTGAATTTTAAATGTTTTTATGTTAAAAGCGAAAAAGAAATCCCCTGTTCAAATGCCATCTATTGAAAAATGCTACAAATTTTAGTTCTAACTCAATAGGTCTTTAAAGAATTTATTAATTATAGGTTTAAAAAAAACTAGTATTATAGGTTTTTGTCTATTGTGATACTATGGACAACCACGTAGAAAGGGAAAAGATGGTTTTATCTTTGGCTCAAGTGTGTTGCAGGATTCACCACTTTTGTTGCAAGGTGTGAACGTTTTTCAGTAAATATTTAATGGCTCCTGGTACATTTGTCTCCCAAACAATATTTCCTTCCTGGGTAAGATAAACTACATCCATGTCCTGGGTAAGACATTAAACTATGTCCAACAGAAAGGGGTTTTGAGGAGTGTGGAACAACATCTTAATTGCTGGTGTTCCCAGGTCCACACTGACCCGGGGTGGTAGCACCTGTTAGGGTCCTAGCTATGGGCAAATAGTTAACCCCCAAACTGGGGTCAAAACTCTAGAAAAATTGTAAAAATAGGTTTTAATACCAAAATTTTTTTAAAAAAAAAAAAAAAAAAAATTATTTTTAGAAACATTTACAAAAAAAAAAAAAAAAAAATTACCAGAAATACATTTTGAAAAAAAAAAAAAAAAAAATTATTACCAGAAATACATTTTTGAAAAAAAAAAAAAAAAAAAAAATTAACCAGAAATACATTTTGGAAAAAAAAAAAAAAAAAAATTATTAACAGAAATACATTGAAAAAAAAAAAAAAAATTATTACTAGAAATACATTTTGAAAAAAAAAAAAAAAAAATTACCAATAATACATTTTAAAAAAAAAAAAAAAATTAAAATCAGAGATACATTTAAATAAAAAAAAAAAAAAAAAAAAAACAAACCAAACAAACAATTTTGAAAAAAAAAAAAAAAAAAGTCCAGACCAAAAATTTTGAAAAAAAAAAAATTTTATTCTTTTACAACAAAATTTTTGAAAAAAAAAAAAAAATTAATTTTGAAAGGAAATTTTTGAAAAAAAAAAAAAATTATTGTTAGTGTGAGATACATTTGCCCAAAAAAAAAAAAAAAAAAATCAAATAGAGCATGAATTTTCCTCAAAAAAAAAAAAAAAAAAAAAAATTAGGAAAGATTTACATTTTGAAAAAAAAAAAAAAAAATTATTACCAGGAATACATTTGACAAAAAAAATATTTAGCACACAAGTGTACATTTTGAAAAAAAAAAAAAATTACAGTCAGAAATTTATATTTAGAAAAAAAATTTACTTTTACTAATGGGTGATTTTTTTAAAAAAAAAAAAAAATGGAATAAGGTTATATCTTTACACTGGTTTTATTAAAAAAAAAAAATTAGGAGGGAAATTCTGGAATTTTGAAAAAAAAAAAAATAATTGTTTCAGAAATACATTTTTGAAACTATTTCAGGATGTTTGAAATAGTTGATTTGGTAAGCTGAAAAAAAATTATTTTTACAAAATACATTTCTGAAAAAAAAATTAGCAGAAATAAATTTCTGAATAAAAAAAAATTATACCAGAAAACCTGGTTATATTTTGAAAAAAAAAGGCATTTTTTTTTACCCATTTTTTAAAAAATAAACCAACAATAAAAATTGGGAGATCATTAAGTTTTGTTTCAAGGGAAAATAACCCATTGAGGTTGATATCCTGAATAAAACCTGGTGTTAGGGTCAATATTTTTTATGGACAAATGTGAAGTCCAAACAAGAAATAAAACATTATGAAAAAATAAAAAATATTTTTTAAAAAAAAAAACTACTAATATATCTTTTATAGAAAAAAATTATAATATAATATTATAAATTAAAAAAAAAAGACAACAATAAATTTACATTTTATTAAGAATGTGCCAACAATACATTTTGATAAAAATGACCAAGAAACATTTTATTTTAACAAGGAAATAAATTGCAAACAAAATATTTATATTCATGTTTGCAACAATAAATCTTTTTGAAGATTGATATATTCTTGTTTTAAAAAAACTTAAACAAACAACATTTCAACTTTCATTGATATTAAGACACATTTGAAGATATGACACATGTACAATGTGTTTGATAGATCATTGGATGGTTCATTTTTAAGTTTAAATCTTGGGTAGGGGGCACATTTACTTTGTTTATAATGCGGATTTAAAAATCCGTTGGCAACAAAACTGGAATTAAATATATGTTGTTTGCTTAAAAATATTTTTTTTTTTTTTTTTTTTTTTACAGGCCAAATTATGAGCATCAGATAAAAACTGGACCCTTTTTGGTAAAGATATCCAAATCATTTATAAAATGGTTTTTTTTATATTTAGATAATTGACATCATCTCTCAGCATATAAAAAAGTAAATGTAAACATGACTTGTTAGCATTATAACTCTTTAAAATATTTTTAAGAAAAATTTGTATAGAAAAAAAATTAAATGTATTTTTTAAATTCCTATTTCAGCTTTGAGCTTCAATTGAAAGCTTAAAGATTAAATTTTCTAATTCCAGAAAAAAAAAACACTGTACATATTTCAAATGGAAAATTTGAATGATTTTTTGTTTTTCTTCCAAAAAAACAATCAAAACGGAATTTTTTTTTTTTTTTATTTTGTTGTAAACTTATTTTTGTCCTTTTTGAAAAATAAAAATTAAATAAATTTTAAAACAATTACTTTCATAAAATCATTATAAAAATTAAACTTAAATTAATCTGGTCTGAAACTAAACCACTTATTGCATAAAATTTTGTATAACAAATATTTCTTTTTCCTTTTCTTGTTATTTTCACATTTGATGATGGCTGAAGGTTGATTCCTTAAATAAATTTGAAAAATGAAACAAATTC